AGAAATTTATCAACACCTTCTATCACATGCATTATTACATAAACACGATGCTCGTGACATGATTTAGTAGTTAGTTTAGGGCGTAACACCGAGGGTGTTACACTCGCCCACCTATCGCCAGACGCGATTTCGTTCTTCCCGGGTTGCTCTGCGGGAGGGCACACGAAAAGCCGCTGGTGGGCAGATGACGACGACGATCGCCCCGCAACCTACCTGGAAGCCGCTCGTTGCCCTACGATGCCGGTCACTGCGCCACCCCTGGGCGCAAACTCATTCTGTCGTGCCTTTGGGGCGTGGTGGTGCTGAAGTCAAACGCCAACGACCTGACCGAAGGTGGAGGAAGCAAAGCAGGGCGCGCCCTCAGCTAGTGTGTGGCATGCCTGCATGGTCGGTCGATGGCCGCTTCCCTGCCCATCATTGCCTTGGCCGCCACGGGCAGCTCTCCGCCCCCAACGCCGACGGGTGGCTGGAGATCCTCCCCGGTCAGAAGCGCAACCTACGACCACCTCGACTGAGAAGCAACTTCCACAGGCTCGAAAGATCCCCACAGAGCTTTTACGATAGATGCTTCAACTGCCTTTCCTACTCACACCGAGTAGCGACTTGTCGGTTGCCACGACGTTGCCTGTGATTCCATGGCTTCCGTCACCTCGCCAAGGACTACAAGCGACCCAGACGTTCTGCGAGGTCGATGGCAAAGGGTGGAGGCTTGCCATGACACTTTGCTCAGCGCAACACCCCACCGGCCTCCCCCCATGATGGTCCACCTTGCTCGGATGGGGCCACACACGGTGCTATGGGGGGCGCCGGTGGTGTCCGACGATGACGATGGTGGCGTCGGAGTAAGCCGGCGAGGGACGCCAGCATTGCCACACCTACCGACCACCCCGACAATGGTGCCATCTCCTCTCTCCCTGGGCCTGACCCGCTGCTGTTGGAGCTATGCGAGAGCATAAGGCCTCCCACGTGGATCGACCCAATGCTGGAGGAGCTCGTCGCCTCATTCGTCGTGAGCCGGTCAGCTAGAGTATCAGTGACTGGATGCCCACCGACTCTGGCGACCGCCTCCCAGGAAGCCGAAGCATCGTTGGTGGACTCTCGTTCTCCGGCGATGACTGCCCAAGGGACGACGGACTCACCTCTGCTATTGCTTGTGCAGGGGCAGCCACTCGTCACGCCACCACGGGAGCGACAGGTCGACGGCGTGGATGCTAAGGCATGTCCAGAGAGGTCCGAAGCCATCACTCTAGGCGCAGACGCAGCCACCCCTCCCCTTTGCCTCAAACTTCCTCGGCCTATAGATGCCTCAAGCACTTCACCGAGCGAGTTACAAAGGCAAGGCATCCGCCACTTCTTGAGCTACCTGGAGATGAGGTGGGCCCTCGGCGGACGTGCACCGCCCTCGCTCCCTAAGCGAAGTTGACGGATAGCGGCACAACCCACAGCTCATATCCCGATAGCCAAGCGAGGGGAGTACCTGGTCATGAAGCGCTTGGGACACTCCAGCGGGATGCCACTTCCGTCGACGCCAGCGATGACGTACGATGAGGTATTTAATGGTGACCCCGCTCATATGCAGGCGTTGCGTGAGTTGTTCCCTCCGGTTGGCGACGTAAGCGCGCGCAAGCAGTGCCGCCGCCCGACAACTAGGGCATAGGCCTCCTTGCCAGTGCCGCAAATTTGGGTCGATCTCGGATCAATGTAACAACTTAGCTTACAGTACATTAGAGAGGTCTGACCTTTCACATAAATATTTATTGATCCCCTAGGGCGCCCGAAGGCGTGTTGTATCGAATTTTTTCTCTACCTTAATATAAAGACGCGCACACCTTTTGCGTGATCGAGAAAAACATAATCTAGTGCTTGTCTTTTTTTCCTTTTAGTGTTGTATTAGGGTTTTAAAAAAGAAATTTAAAATATATAATTAACTATGAATTTATCTTACATTAAATTATGAGTTGGTACAAATTAAATCAATATCACATAAAACATTTTTGAAATACAAATCTACGGATCCTCCGTACACTATGCATTAGTACTAGTATATTTGACTAGTTATTATTCCCTCCATTTCAAATTATAAGCCACTTTGACTTTTTTGTTCATAAAATTATATATATATATATATACACACGTACCGTTCTGTAGCTGGCCGCAGAATAAATTATTCTGTGGCCACTTTGAGTTACGATAATTACTATACTAATTTACGAGATTATGGTAACTCTTTCATAAGTGATTTACTATAATATTATGGTAAGTATCATCTTGAATTATAGTAACTCATGTATCGTAAATGTATATTGTCATTATCGTAAATTAGTACAAACATTATCGCAAAATAAGGTGGCTATAGAATAAGTTATTCTGTGACCAGCTGCAGAATAGTCTTACCGTGTGTGTATATATATATATATATATATATATATATATATATATATATATACACACGTTATATCTAGATGCATAGCAAAATAGATGTATCAAAAAAAATTAAACTGACTTATAATTTAGAATGAAGGGAGTAGATCTTTTAATCAAAACATATGGGCCTGTTTGCTGTGTGGAACAGCCATCGTGGCTGTGTTGTGGCTGTACCTCCAACTGCAGCTGCTATTCCGAACACCACCTATGAAGCTCGATTTTTTTTTCAAAAAATAAATATCTCCAAATCTATGCGTTCCCTAAGTCAGTTTTCTCACTTGACAGAAGTTTTAGAGAAAAACATCAACATCTACAACATCAAAAATCTCATTAAATCTACCATAAGATATGTCTTGGTAGTGGATTTGAAAGATGTTAACATATCTTTATATGATGTTAGTCAAAGTTAGAAAATGTTGACTCATCATTATAATAAAACGAGTATGACCTACATTTTAAAATGAAGGGAGCATGCAATGGGCAATGGCCACCTTGCCTGCTCTCACCTCACCACTCGATCCAACGCTAAATAAAGAATTAACTTGCTGATGGATTTTATCTCCAAATAATGTCCCATTATTTAGGTGCTCTACCATAATCAGCATTCTCACGCGTCCAACATAGTACGTGCATTTTGTGACTGAATGACTATAATCACGGTACCAAGATTGATCTATATTTAGAGTCTATTTGGTTCAGCTGTGAGCTATGAAAAACTATTATGAGCTATAAACGGTGGAAATAATTGATGTGAGCTATGTGATGTGCAAAGGTTGTAACATATTTGGTTGAAACAACTATGAAACCTACTCTCTTTGTCTTTTTTGAAACAACTATGGAAGGCAGAAACACTAGTAGACATGACATTATTACTGACGATTCCAAACCTATTTTTACTAGTGTTGTTTCTGGTTTTCCGCCAGTGGGAAAGGCCAGTGAAAATCGCATCTTCTATAGAACCACCAATGTAAATCCATTTTCAAAGGCGGCTAGTTTACTGGAAACATATTAATTTACTAAAAACATGTTGCTTACTATGCTTGGATGTGGTAAGTCGGCATGCGGCAAACATGCTCAGCTGTATAGCTCTAATTAGGGGAGGAAGAAGCAACATTTATAGCCTTTTTTTACCGGTAGTTCATTAAGGCAACCGCCAGTGTAAAACAAAGACACTGACGGATGGCTTAAGGTAACCGCCAGTAAATATTGCATTTGCACTGACGGTTTTCTTAAGCCAACCTAAATACGCTAATTGCACAGGTGGTTTTCGTAAAAAAACCACCAGTGTAAATCATTTACTTTGGCAATTTTTAGCTTGAGCCCATATTTATATTTTTTGTACCAGCGCCTGCTCCTTATGAACCGCTTGTGAAGAAAATCGCTAGCATCAGGAAAAATCGATTATGTACTAGTAAAATATAAAAACAGGGTCTAGAGTGTTGAGAAAATTGTACTATATGAAAATAGCTCTTTTTGGAAAAGGAGCTTCAGGCTCTATCGTGTGGTTGGCTTTCTGCGTTTTGGTAAAAAAAAACACTTTCTGGAGGCTAAACCAAAACACGGACTCATACATCATAAATATTGTCGTTGCTCATTATATATCCTTCTATCATGTAACATCAGCCATGTGAAGGCCAAGTACACTCTGAGATGCATATATAGGCAAGATCCGGTTCCATTATATATCTATAAAAAAATTTGCAAAACCACAAGCAAAATGAATTAGAGCAGAAGGCACGCAGCAGTGCCAGGGACCAGAAAAGATCAGATCATAAAGAGTACTATAGACAAGGCATGTGGCTCAGCAGTGGTTGGGGAGTGGCTGCAATGCATGGCACGCAGCCTACGAAGTACTACAAAGCAGTGCATAGCACACATAAACACGCGTATCGGAGTACTACTCCCTCCGTCCCTAAACGTCTAAATAACTTTAACTAAATATATATTAAAAATATTAATATTTATGATAAATAATTAGTATTATTGATAAATATTTGAATCTAGTTTTTTAATAAATTTATTTAAAAATAAAAATATTACACGTATTTTTAAAAAATCGAGTCAAAGTTATCAACACATAAATGGAGCATGTCTTTATGCTTATTACATCCACGGGACCAGAGCAACAGCTCGAACTAGTTACCTACTCCGTAGTTAGCTAGTAGCAGGCGCGTCACCAAACAAATTAAAATGCATGTTAAATGCATCAAATCCAACGCATGATCCATCGAGAAAGATCGCAAACATGTTTATTATATCAGCATTGCATAGTACAGAAGGCAGGGGGCAAACTAAGCTTGCATGCTCACCACATATCCACCCATCATCATACATATACTTCCCAAAAAAGAAGCCACCACTTCCTATAGCCAGCTAACATGATCGAGCATGCATGTCAATGACCTATATAGCTAGGAATTTAAACGCATTCATGCATCCTATTGTACATACACGTAGTAGCTAGCTTGAGCAAGGACAAGGAACATGCATGCCTTTGTTATTTACTAGCAGCGTATGTAGATGCATGGATGATGCTTGACCACCTAGCTTATTAAGCTTATAATAATACTAATAAGCTACCGCTCAGAGAAGGCGGTCTTGGGGAGCACGGCGTCCCTGACCTTGGTCAGCTCCCGCCCCTTGCTCCTCCCCGGCCGGCACGCCTGATCCGGCGGCGACGCCACGCCCATCCGCTCCATCTTCCTCGCCAGCCACTCATGCGGAGGCAGCATCTCTCCTCCGTCGTCCTCCTCCTCCTCGTCTTCTTCGCTGTTGCCGCCTCGCCGCCTCGCCGAGCTCGAGCTGCCAGCCGGAATGGCCACCGGCGCCGACGACCTTCCCCTGCCTCTCGCGCCGGCGCCGGCGCCACCTGCGGCAACCGACTCGTCCTTGGACGACGCAACGACCTTCTTGGACTTGTTACTACCCCTCCTAATCCTTGGTGGAGTAGTAGTTGCCATGAGCGCCGCCGCCGGACGGTTATCATCCTGCAGCACGTCCCACACATCCCCCTCGTCGAACTCTTCTTCCCGCACTCCGGCCATAGATCTCCGGCCAACACTATGCTGGCTAGCTAGGAAGATAGAGAAACAGAGAACAAGGAGGGAGAGCTTGCTGCTGTGTGGCTTTGCAGCGGATGGATCAGAGGTGGCAAGCACTCGCCACTGGGCGGCACGTATATTTGTTGTCACAGACGAGGGGACAGGGCCCGCGCATACAGTGCAGTGGACCAGTGCTGCAAGTGCGCTGAACGGGGACAAGATTACAGCTGCCGCCCAGAGACCAGCAGACCCACGCACGGGCTGTTTGGTTCCGCCCACCATTGCCGTCGTTTTGGATGCTTTACTTGCTGCGTTTTGGCATAAGCAGCAAGTTAACAACACCGTCGTGTTCGTGCACCTGAGTTTGACGCCACGAGATGTTCGTCGCGCAGCACCCCATTTGCATGTATGAACCGGTCTGGCCGGTTTTAGAAATCAGCTCAGGTTTCACTTAATGATTGTTGAAGAAGTGTCAAGAAGGATCTTTGTCACATATTGAAGGTGACAAACGGTTTTACGGATTTACAGTAGAAGCTTTCTTGTGTGGCTTCCAAAGGAGCTCCAACTGTGGAATGGTGAGGAGTTATCGGCCGGTGTCCATTGGCCTCCCGCCTCTGAAATTCCTGATTTACAGTGTGGGCAGAGGCAAGTGAGCCCTCCGTCTCGTATAAATTTGTTTGTTCGTATGTGAAAAAAAAGGTTATTCCTTTTAACTTCATTTACACCATTTCTTCCAAGCAGCGTATACCTAGCTTGTTGTGTTTCTGCGAAGAGTATTCCACACTATAAGTAGCAGTGGAAGTGTTGCTCCATCTGTGAATCTGATGAAACCCCTTTTTTGAAGATGAAAAGTGCTGACAAGGTATTCCACACTATAAGTAGCAGTGGAAGTGTTGCTCCATCTGAATCTGATGAAACCCATCATATCATACACGTACAGTAAGTAACACACATATATATCCACATGCATCTTCCTTTTGCATGAATGGTCGGTCATCTAGCTCTTTCCAGCGTGAGAGTAGTAGAGACATGCTACATAGTACAGTAGTGTCGTTGCAGCTAGTACTACTCCGCCTGTGTTTAGTTGAGTGAAGTTTGAAATTTGGGTTCTACTGTAGCATTTTCGTTTTTATTTGGTAATTAATGTTTAATCATGGACTAATTAGGCTCAAAATGTTCATCTCGTAATTTCCCACCAAACTATGCAATTAGTTTTTTTTCGTCTACATTTAATGCTCCACGCACGTATCACAAGATTCGATATGATGATACTGTAGCATTTTTTGGGAATTTGGAGGGAAACTGAACACGGCGGTTCATTCGCTAAAAGAAAAAAGACCACTACTATCACTGTTGGCTTTTTACGGTTTTCGAGGTGCAACTCTGCCATGATTCTGAAGACGGGGGAGAGAGTATTTAAGACGCCTTGGTGAAATTTGTTGTTCTATCGTCTAGTGAACTGTTAACATCAGAGGCGGAGCCAGGAAATAATCTTGAGAGGGGGCCAAGTACTAACTATGGATTATTGGAAGGGCAATTATCAAATATTTTATTCAGATATATGGTGGAATCTTGTGTACACAAGAGTTCACCAAGCATAGCGGGTGTCTGGCCCCCCTCAGCCCCTCGATCTCTCCCACCGCCTCTAGTTAACATTAATGTTTTAAATGTTATTCGCCAGTTCGTTTGGGTTTATTAGGCTTATAAACCTTATTTTTCAACCAACAAACAATATTTTTCTCTCAAATCAACCAATAGTACTTTCAACCATGACTTATTAGCCAAATCAGCCAAACAAATCCAAATAAACAGAGCGATTGTTGGATCTCGATCAAAATCGTATTTATTTGTGACTGACAGACGAAGCAGAAGACAATAGGAAGGCCTTTTTTGATGGGATCTTCTCATCTCATGGATTCAGCTTCACCTGTTGATGTATTATTCATGAAACTTCTTTTCTTTTTTGCCCTGTTCGCTTTCTCTTATAATCCGTCTTTTTCAACTTGTTTTTGTAGTTGGAATAATGTTTTTCTCTCACAATAAATCAGCCGGAACAGCGTTTCGGCTTGCTTTTTCAGCGAAGCGATTCTTCTTCGATAACTAGAAATCAATTAAACAACTATTTTTGGTGTAGCACTATAAGCCAAAGCCTTGTAAAACTCCACCAAAGAAACCCTAATAACCAAACGAAAGTATCAGCAGCAAAGCAAGCGAAGCCAAGTGATGCGCACAAGCACAACGAAGTGGATGGATAAGGAACGAAGGTGACAAGACGGGGGATGCGGAAGTCCGGCGATTGGGCGGCAGGCTGCTCGAGGGTCAGGGAGGCAGCGAGAGGGCAGGGCAGGGAGATTCGCCTGCGTTGCTTGTGATGCCGCCGCGCGCCGGGCAGTGCAGATGCCTGAAGCCTGATGCCCTGCCTGCAGGAATCCGACATGCCGGTCGAAATGTGATGCAAAGCCTGTGCGTATTCCCTTCTTCTTTTGATGAGATGAGAGGAGGTGGTCACTGTGAATGCCAATGGCGCGCGCTACGTGCTACGGACCGACGTGATCGATGGGAGGCCCGGCAGGCGGCAGTGGCAGTGGCAGGCCTGATGAGGAGTCGGCGGGACTCCGGAGTGCCGAATTTTTTATTTTTTGGCTTTTTTTAAAGTTTTTTACAAATATACCCTAGATGTATGCTTTTAAAATTTGAACTCTTAGCTTGGTGCCATCGTGGGTGACGCTGAGTCTCGGCACCAAATGGTTTGGCGCTTAGGTCGAGACCACATTAACGGCATGGACGCTGATCTGGCAGGCAACCCCAGACCTGCCCAGCCACTCAGCCAGAACCAGAAGGGAGGTGATTTGAGATCCAGCGGTGGCATTATCTGGCGCTCAGGGTCTAAGTGTACACGTGTACTACGAGTATTGCCTTTCCGTGCCAACTTCGCTCAAGCAGCTCTCGAGTGCCCTGGCGGCCTAGTGCTCCTTTGGTGTGGCCCTGCTGTGTTTGGCCTTTACCTGCCCATGACTGGTCACTACTCCTAGCAAAGAGCTCTGTTTTTCCTCTCATGCTACGTCAGTAGAGCCGGAATCAAAAGCCCGTGAGAGCCACATCAAACAAGGCCTGAATTCATGGGTTGTTTCAGTTTCAGAACTGCTTGCCACGCTGTTTAGCAGAAGAAGAGAAAGTTTGGTTAAAATGCCATACGGAAAGACAGCCGCACTCCACAGACATCAGTCCTTTTACCATTACCGTAAAAAGAATCCTGCATTGATTCGTTAAAACAGCCTCTTCTCTTTCGAACTAGGCACAAATGCAGTCTCTTCTCTTCTACTGCTAGTTGTTTCCTCAAGAGTATAATATAAAACAGTCCACGTCATGAGCTCCTAGCACTGTTTCTGCACCGCGAGCTTGCCGGCGTCACCTTGAGGAACCAAAGTTTAGCTCGCCGTCGTCGTTGTCGGCGCCGGCTGAGGGCTGAGCTGATGAACCAAAGTTTAGCTCGGCCTCGGCAGCGGCGGCGGCTCTGAAATCGACTCTTGGAGGCGGGAGCTTGTCAAAGAGGCACTCTTTGATGTTTCCAACAACTCCCTTGTCGTAGGGATTGGGCGAGCTACGGTACCGCCCTTTGTACCTCTCATGGCTAGTCTGCACAAAACTCAGAGAAAGGGGACCCCATTTGTTAGCTACTACTACAGAGACTTTGCTTTGGTTAGCTACCGCGATTTTCTACTCGGATTGCAAGTTTTGACTAAGGTTTTGAAAGTCTTTAAGAGTACATTTTCACAGTGAACTTTACTTACAATGTTTTGGTACAAAATAAACAAGTAAAAGAGGGAGTATATGACAAGTTCAGTCTCTAGTGCTGAAAAATCATGGCACACCAAACCTGTGGCATGAACTAAACAGCCACCCATAGAAAGGGTGGCAAACAAGTCAGAGTGTTTATTGCTAAGTTTACATGACTCGTAAGAAGAAATATATTTGCTAAGTTGGTGTTTATCGCTATTAGATTCTTTCTACAGAGACTGATTTGCAGAAACGTGATGACACACAGGGAAAAAAACCGAGTCAGAGTGTTGGATAGGAAATGCCTGGCCTACCTGATTAGAAGTTATTTTCTATTGATTTTTACTCAAACGCAATTCATGGTGGAAATGTGGAACTGCCTGGCATATTTGAGAAACGTGTAAACATGATGGAGAATCACATTATTGACAAGTCAAAGGTAGTATATGCACGTACTTTGTTCTTGGCTACGAGGAAGGCATGGGAGGCCAGAAGGCACGCCAGGACACAGACAGCCATGAAGCTGAGTGCTGCAAGCGCAGACGTTTCAGGCAAAGCTGTGACCAAATAACCGAAGACTTCAGCATTGGCAGCGTCCAGCTTGACTCTGATTCTTGTCACCGAGAACGTGAATATGAATGCGTAGAATGCTAACGCCGAGCACATCAGCAGCAAGTAAAACCTGTAGTTTCTCTGCAGAAGCAGGGAATCAAACACCAAGCATTACTCTCTGAAGGTGTGAAACCAAGGCGATCGATATATGAGTAGTAGTTCAGTAGTTGGTGTCAGAGGAGCATGATGATACCAGCCCTACGCACTGGCTTATCCAGGGGCAGTGTTGATCGAACTTGTCGACGCAGTTGTCGCAGACGGCGCAGTGGTAGCTTCTGGGAGGGCGGTGGATTTTGCAGGTCCGGCAGAACTTGAGCCGCACCTCGACGCCGTTGACGACTAGGAACCGACTCGGATGAGCCGTTCTTGCAGAACCTGCTGTTCCATCTTCTACTGATGATGGTGAGAGTGCAGCCGGATTGTTTCTTGGTATGATTCCGGGGTCTCTTGTTGCGGCCATTGCGAAACTTGCAGTCACCTACGCGAACGAACATGGCAGTGCTGGTGTCAGTCTGTGACGAATGGGAGCTCGGTGACAGAGCATAAACTGTGACGATCGAGATCATGTATACTGACAGTTGCCAACAGGACGAGGGAAGACGCGGAGACGAGAGCCGGGTGTGCCGACGACGGATCAACGACGTAGGATAGGAAGATCCATTCTGAGAGCAGGATTGCCATGGCTGTCAGGATAAGGCCTCGCGGGTCAGGCCCGCAGATCACACGGCCGTCCAAGAAGAACACCTGCATTGCAAATTTGCAATCTGATTGTTACTGCAACAAGCAGAGGTCAGAGGAGCACTGCTAAAATTTGAATGCCTACGTTTATCCCGGGCCAGACTTGGTGCACCCTCGTCGGCGGCGGAGGCCCTGACGGGCTGCCCCGCAAGCAGGATGGCATCAGGGATCGAAGCCGGCCGCAAGATTCCGCTCGGCCACCAGTCATGTACTCGGCAACGCGTCTGATCGGATTGCATGTTGCGGAAGAGGAAGAACCGTTGGAGCCTTGGTCTTGGGCGCGGCGCTCTGGAATCTGGCGGTGTTCTTGATCCGTGGAGTGATGCTCCATCTCCATGGAGAGTCAGTTCTTCGTCGTCCCGCTCTGTCGGTCGGTCTGTGAGGGAGAAGAGAAACCGAAAAAGTGATGGTGGCGGCGTTGGAAGTTGCGGGAGACAACCGCGCCAGAGACGCAACGCAAGGGAGCAGTTACAAGTTTGACTTGGTCCAGGCGCGTTCTCTCGTTCGGCCCATGGAATGGAATCTGTACATGGGCTGGAAATGGGTTTAGTTCGGCCGGTCGAAGAACAGACAGTGGATCAATTTTTTTTAGCAGAAGACGGTGGATAACTCATCGTAGGTCAGTTGGTTTGTTTTCTGGTACCCTATCCATCCGGATTTAAGTCGGGCGATCGTATTTTTCTGGATTTATTCTAGAATTTAACGGCGCTATGCTTTTAGTGGTAGGCGACGTCCTCGTCGACAGCGAGGCGCCAGTGATGACTTCGTGAATCTTGAGATCTGCTGGCTCAGTTCTCTGGAGGTGCTCATAGGGGTAGGGTTTACGTACGTGTGTTCATAGTGGTGACTTCATAAATCTCGAGATTTGACGGCTCAGTTCTTCGGAGGGTGCTCATAGGGATAGAGTTTGCATACGTATGTTTATATGGGTGAGTGTACGTGCGTGTTGTGGGCGTCTACGTTGTACTGTGTAATTTAAAAAAAAAGGTCATATGATGTGTACAGAGCGTTTCCTTAAAAAAAATATGTACAAGACCTAGGCAGAAAAAACGGTTTGCCAGTATGCGCAGCGGCGGAGGGTGAATGAAAATGGGGCTAATTTCAATACTAGCTACTGTAGCTATTAAAACTTCGATTAAAATAAATAAGAATCTAAACACCCAAAGCACAAATTCTCATAAGCCATCTGTTCTCTTTGGCAGGCATGCATCACTTTCCTTGCTCTGTATTTTCTCTTCTTCCTGTAGTTACTGTTTTTCTCTTTTTCATGCAGACTGCACAGCCTACTCTTCATTTTTCATCAGAGATGTGTGTGTGTGGGTTGGGGGGGGGGGGGGGGGGGGGGTGGGGGCGGGGTGCGGACCCCGCTCTGAATCCAAGCTGTTAGATGATCTCCAAAACTGAAAGTCCGAGCTGACAACGAGTCCGACTGTGGCTTGCAGAACCTGCTCCTCGCCTCTTCTCTCGTCACGTACAATCTCAGAAGCCACTCGCCTTCATTCTCGTCCGTGCGCTTAGACGCCGCCGTTATCCCTAATCGCTCTTCTCCTCTTCCTGATCCGCGGACGGCCGCCATGCCCACAATGACGGTGCCGTCCGCTACCATGCGCAGGCTGCGCCGCGAGCTGGAGATCAGCCGGAACCGGAGCAAGGCACCCCTGGCGCCAACAGGAGGAGTCGTCGCCAAGAAGCCCTCACCGCCGCCACCCTCCAAGTCCAAGCCCTCATCTCCGGCAAAGAGCAAGTGCATCGGAAAGGGAGCGCAGGTGCGCGTGCGCACGCGGGTCGGGACGGTGTGCACGGGGCAGCACCTCGTGCTCTGGCTCCGCGCCGTCGTCGAGTGCGCCGAGGACGAGGACGCCGACGGCTGCCTCCGCGTCGCCTACGACTACACCAACGGCAAGTTCCCACGCGTCGCGCGCGTCTCCCCGAACGACGTCAAGCTGCACGTCGTCCCGCCCGCCGACGCCAGCGCCACTGCTACGTCCACCGGATCTTCCATTGCCACCAGCGACCACTCTACGCGCACTTCGTCATCATCACAGTCACAGCAGGACAAGGCTGGTCCACCTCCACGGCAGACCGTCGCCGGGAAGAAGCTGCCATTGCTGAAGAAGCTGGAGAAGGAGATGCTGATGAGCAGCTCCAAAGCTATCAGCTTGTAGCCTTTTGTAGGCATCGGATATTATTAGACGATTTAGACCTTGCGTTTTGTTTGTGATCATCATTGATATGTAGTTATGTACCAGTAGCCAGGACGAGTCTTTTGCAGATGTATATGTATTTTGATTGATTAATTTGTCCTACTCCACAAATATCGTTCAAGTTTCTGTACAACTTTGCCGATCGATATCTACCAAGATTTGTCAAAAATGCGTAGTTAATGATAGAGAACATGTTGGGACAGTTGACTGTGTTGATGGGATTTGGTGATTTATAGATAAGACGTGTTTAAATCTCACAATAACAAGCATTGCAATCTATCCCTCTTGCACATCAATGCAGTGAGAATTTTTATCGTGTGCTTCCAGACGCAAATAAAAGAGCACATGATCACAAGGCATAATTAATCCTGCTGAAGTTGTGCAAAATAATTTCTCCAGCAACGTTAATGAACAAAGTCACACAAGTAAAAAAGATGGTATGATTTCTTTTTCGAATTCAACCTTGAATTCATATCTTGAGTACGTATTTTGAGGTAACAAAATAAATACAGTTTCCCATAAACAATTTCCTTTTGCAAAGTACAACATCCATGCAGACACATAAACACTCACCCCGGCCTCTATGAATGCCTTCGAGAGACTAGGCTGACAAATCTTGAGATCAACTAAGGCACCTGAAAATGTGAGCAACAATCCCATCTTCAGGAAATCTTGAGATCAACAAAATCATTATCGTCATGTGCTGGAGTCTTTGGTATGTGAGAAATGACTTCATCTTCAGAGATCAATTCCAGTGGGCATCAATTTATGCGGAGTTTTGTTGATCTTCTTTGTAACCTTTTCTATTTCTTAACTGTTGTATTTAATTTTCTGTTTACCTGTTTATTTAATATAATAATATGAGAAATTTACAGTGCTTGAAAATAATGAGCCATCCGTTTCACTGGATCTAATGTTTTAAAATAGAAGGAACCAATTAGGAGGAACTTAAGAGGTGGACCGAAACCTAAAATTTGTGAGCCAGGAACTGGTTCTCAATTAAATTCGAAGGATATAACAGTACTTCACATCTCAGGATTGGCAGTGAGCTCCAGCAGGCGGCCAGACAGAACTTCACAGATCACAGGTAACCGGCATTGTGCTTGTGCCTCGGACAGACCGCAGACAGGCGGCCGCGGTGCACCCCATGCAGACGGGCGGACGGGCAGTGGCGTCGATCTCCTACAGCCAGCCAAGCCACAGGCCCTTGCGGACAGGCGAGGGTGAGCCCTGGACAGACTGGTGCCGGCCAGCGGCGGCGGCGAGCCGGCGAACCCGTCCCTGCTGATGCATGTGTGTGTTCCGTTTGTGTACAAGGGGAAGATAAGATGTCGGTCAAAGTTAATGTATACACTAAAATGACTAAACTATCTTTAATTGTATTTAATTAATTTCTTTTACACTAGACATCCCAAAAGAAATTTCGTAGGAGGAATGTTCCTCCCAAACACCGTAACAATATATATCCTCCCCTGTCCCAAAATAGAAGTCATTATGAGATGCGAATGTGTGCAAATATATTCAACGATCTATCTAACGATACTAATTATGTATTATAAATATTAATATTTTATATATATATTTGGTCAAAGTTAAAAATGTTTGACTTTTCGGGAGCGAGAATGACATGTATTTTGGGAAGGATGGAGCAGCTAATAGGGGCTAGGGCTTGTTCCTCCTGTTGCTTCAAAAAAATGTGAGCACCCATTGGAGACTTGAACTCGGTTACTTTTAGAAGAACCATTCATCTTGAAACTGTAAAAGGAAACAAGAGAAACTGAGAGGAGAAATAGGAATCAATTAGACTTAATGATAACGGAAATATCAAGCCTCCACACCCACCTGAACGGGCTGCCATCCGCACAAACGCACCCATCTCGCGTTGCCAAAAAAAAAAATCTCCGTCACTGCTTTCCTCTCGAATCGCTACTGCGCCCGCATCCATTCTCGAACCCGCTCTCGAATCGCCGCCGTGCCAGCACCGCCACGGCGTGCTCCACCGTGGCCGCACCGCCGGCGGCCGAAACGCGGTGGTGTGCTGCACCGCGCCCAAGCGCCGTCGCCAGCCTTCCTATCTCCCCACCGCCACTCACCATTCATCGCCAATTTCTTTGACCTGACGCAGTGTGGTCCACGACGACTGCTCCGGCGCGGCATTCTTCACCGCGCCTAGCCGCTTGCCTGCCGCCATCCTCCCCCTCCACTACACCCGAGCGCCCCTTGCCTTCTACCGCAGTTCCCCACCAGGTAGGCCGTGCCCGCCACTGACGCCGTGTTTCAAGTGTTTTCAGTTGTTTCAGAAGTATGTTTTCAAGTGTTTCATCTATATATTGTGTATGTTGCAATGGCTATATATGCACGTTGCAAGTATATGTTTCAAGTGTTTTTGTTGTTTCAGACGTATGTTTCAAGTGTTTATCTGGATGTTGCAAAAGTATATCTGGATGTTGCATAACATGCATGCTGTAAGCGTATGTTTCAAGTGTTTTAAGTGTTTCATAAGTATGTTGCAAGTGTTTTATCTATATGTTGCAAAAGTAGATATGGATGTTGCATGTTATTGCAATGGCTTTCAATTGTTTTCGGTGTTTTGCAAGTGTTTTAGACGTATATTGTAAGTGTTTTAACTGTTTCAGATGTATATTGCAAGTGTTTTATCTGGATGTTGCAAAAGTAGATCTGGTGTTACACATGTTGCAATGGGACCACCTGCGTAGCTGCCTGCTGTAGTTGTTGGGGTGCCACCAAGCGGGCACAGAATGTCCCCGCCTGCATGCGCATGGAAAGTGTATGAGGCACGAGCGGTCTCCATGTGTTGTAGTTCGGGTGGATGGCGCGTGAGGTCCGGGTGTTGGCACCGGCGTCCGGGCACTAGCAATCCTCTTATGATAATTTTGGACTTTTGAAGCTAAGAGGTATGGAGCCGAATTATAACCATTATTTTTAAAAAAAATTGCAACTTGCATCCCTTCTCTCTCATGCTTTCTTTCATCTGGAATACGCTTGGCCCTAGTTCGAAGCGAATAGGCGGCACTGAGACCATGTCAAACAAATGAGATGCTTCCATTCTTTCCTTTTTGTCATCGGTTACTCCAATGCAAAGTTTTAACTTCACTACAGTTGCATAGGCCAAGGACAAGGGGATGGAAATGCTGAGAGTTAGAATGTAGCAGTATGCCCTGTTCGCTTGGCTTATAAGCCGCACTTTTTCAGCCAAAACAGTATTTTCTCTCACAACAAATCAGCCAACCGTATTTTCAGCCATGACTTATCAGCCAAACGAAATGGCATACAAATGCTTTGATTTGGCCCGTGACTCCTGCCGCCCTGAGCCAGCATCTTAATTGGAGCCCGTCGCAGCACTGACCGATTCTCCAACATCCTGGGAACCAAACAAACAAGGTCTCTCGATGGTCACCTATATATGCAGCTGAATATATGCTTCTCAACTCAGGGCATCGCATACGCACAGCAAAGAAGAAAAAAAGAGTCCGGCAGGCATCCGTCTCCATGGCTTCCAAGCAAATGCTGGCTGCAGTGGCCGCCTTGATGGCCCTCGTCTTCCTGCCCACGCTCGCCTCCGCCACAGATCACGTCGTGGGCGACAGCCAAGGCTGGACGCTCGGGTTCGACTACGCCGCCTGGGCCGAGAGCAAGCAGTTCACAGTCGGCGACACACTAGGTACTCGCAGCTGGATCAAAAGCCTTATACTATATGCGACGTACATATGCACATAGGCCTCGTTCTCTTTTTTTTTTTTTTTGAAAACATGGCAGAGGAGCTCTACCTCTCAATTAAGATAAAAATAAAAGTTTATGTACAGAATGACCTATAAAGCCTAAGGGCCACAAAGGACGCACACTGAACACACTTTCTCCGCTACAGGAGCACCGAACACACTAATTGAAATGGTTACTGAACACCCTCCCAATGTAGTTCGATGTCTTCTTTTAACTCTGGAGGCCACCTGCCTTTGGGTCGTGGAGCTGTTCTGGAATAGGCCTCGTTCTCTGATCCGGCGACACTTTTAATTTGCAGCGTTCAAGTACGCCTCCAGCTCCCACAACGTGGCGGAGGTGAGCGGGCCGAACTTCAAGGCGTGCAACAAGGCAGCGGTCACCTCCATCTGGAACTCCGGCGACGACCGCCTCAGCCTCGACAAGCCGGGCCGGAGGTGGTTCATCTGCACGGTGGGCAGCCACTGCCAGCTTGGCATGAAACTCAACGTCACCATCCTTCCGGCGACGACGCCGACCCCGCTGCCAGCACCAGCGCCGGCGCCGGAGCCGTCTCAGCCTTAGTTGTCTCGGCGCTTCTTCCTCTCCAACTGGTGATGGATGCAATTGCAATGCGTGCCCTCCATGCCAGAGTAGCTGGTCGTCGTATTTTCAATTCTGCCTCGGTCGAGCCCTTTGTACCGGACGGCATCGATCCGGACCCCGGAGCTTCTTCCACTGCTATACGTACTGTCAGAATACGCCATCCTGATCGAGTGGCATGGCATGGTGTAATAATAATTGTTGGACCCACGTGTGTTCAACGCATGAATTTCTAGGCTTGTGATGCTTTCTGTTTCCGCTGAAACACACCTGAGGCCATCATCGCATAACGATGAAATCTGTCAGACCGAACCCGTGTCGATTAGCTTCGCTTGTACGCGTCCTCGGCTCGCGCCATTTTTTCGGAGGAGAGGACAGATCATGCGGATTTGGAAACCGGGTCGAATTCAATCGATCGTTCGTCGTTGTCGAATTCAATCGATCGTGTGCGGGCTACGATCGATTAGCTTCGCTTGTACCACGCGTGCGCGGCTCGCGACAAGTCGGATACGAGGACGACGGATGCGGAACCGAGTCGAATTCAAACCATTCTCGTCGGAGTCGGACTCACTCTGCTGTATTGCAGCATGGCTTTTGCATCCTTACCACCGACTTCCGGCCGCCTCTCCCCCACATCCCGTGATCCTCCCCTTGCCTCCAGCAAGGAGTCGCTCTAATGGCCGCCTCTCCCCCACATCCCGTGATCCTCCCCTTGCCTCCAGCAAGGAGTCGCTCTAATGGCCGCCTGCGTAGAGGCAGCAGCCACCACCGTCCGCGACCGACCCGCAACAACCGGATGCGCATCGCCATGGGCACTACCGATGACTACGAGGAGAAACCGGCAGACACACCGTGTTTGGCAGGGCCCCTTCGGGCTCCGGCTCCTCACTACAGTACCACCGGAGCCGGAGCCGAAGGAGCTACAAATCGTGGCTTCTCTCGTCCCAGTTCATTTCGACCAGATGAACAGTACTGCTACAGTACAAGATGTAGGAGGAGCCGGGGCCACGGGAAGCCCCACCAAACACGCCCTAAACACAAATAATGTTAATAAATGAAGGTCTATTCACTTTTCATAATCTGCCTAACTGAATACTTGTACACCACTACTTTTGTTGATCATGCATCTAAAAAGCTGTAGTACATAAACAATGGATGGATGCGAATGAGTTAACAACAGAACATACTGTACCTGCATGAAACCTTCGTTCAGAACCAACGCAACTATAGACTTATGTTACGGTTCACCAAGCAGGTCCCAGAAATCAGCTCATCACAAGTTGCAGAAACTGAACTTAATCTTGAATCTGGACACCTCTTGTAGCTCAACATGTCTGAATGCAAGAATGAATGAAAATGTTCGGCAGAAACCACCCAAGAAATTTGAAACTGGAGGACAGTAATAATATCCTTAATTTTGTATTTTAAACAGTTAGTAGAAAATTAGAAAAATGTAGAAATAACTACTCTGAATAACCAATGCGACATTAACAGTTAATCAAGAACCTCTTTACTCTTTCCAGACACAAGGTAGTGCCAAAAATCTGATGGTACAACAGATAGTGAACTTAAAAGAAACTGATTGTTAGCTACAGAATAACAAACACTCATACAGCTATATACTTTCTGCTTGTTGTACATCAACACGATTTATGCAATAACCCATGCAGAAATATGGTGAGATCTTACATTTCTTTAAGCTGCAACTATGTCACCTAATTGAACATCACAATTATAAATTACAGGACAATATCTACATTTAAACTTTGGTTATTAATTTCGTTTCTAGAGTCCAAGGATGCTCACTCCCAGAATGAATGAAGAAAAGCAGCTAATGTTCCGAGAAAGCATCATCTGTAACCCACGTCGACATGGCACATATTATGCGCCCCTTCCACCCTTCCAGGAGCCACTGGTGATCCACATCAATGACAAAGCCCTTGTGGTAGCTTTCCTTGACCTTATTCCTCACAACGTTAACAATATCTGGATCCAAAGGCAGCTGTCTCAGCCCTGCCTGGTGGTTCCGCACTTGCCATTGCTTGTATGTCTCGTGGCGCTCAACCCTATCGGAGCCCTCACAGGCAATGACATTCATGGCAAACCTTCCAAAGAGGTCCCGTTCAATCAGCAAGCGTTGGTCGTTGTCCCGTGGGACTGTAACATCAAGCATGTCAAACAGTGCAGAGAAAAAGAACAGTACCTCTCGGAACCGTGTTACGAAGAATGGCGTCCCATGGGAGCCATTGATATTACAAAAGATAAACACATCTGGTCGCATCTTCCGGATGTTATTGAGGACCATATCCCTAGGGCTTGGGCTATATATGTCAACACCCTCATCCATCAAGTTCCCAAAATCAAATAGACTATTGATGACGAGTGCCTCATCAGGGTCAATGTGCAGGTCATCAACAGAAACCATCTCCCACTTTGCCGCAATGCTTTGGAACTTGAATGGTATGCCAAACTGTTGGGCACATTTGCTGAGCCGGCGTCCGATCTCTTCAATATGAGCAGCTGGGCGGAATCCAGGCTGGGGAAGGTCAATGCCGGTGATCCTCACCTCTGGTGGTCCACCCTCCCAAGTAGACAAAATGCCAAGGAAGCTTGGCCACTGAATCCCCTCACGCATGCCATAGTCTACAATGTGAAGTTTTGTCCTCCCTGCAATAACATTGGCAATGGTCATATTGGAGAACTTGTACGCCATCATCTTGAAGCAGCAAACAGTTAAGTATAGCTGATAGGCTTTAAGGATATCCACTTGCGAGGTTCGCTTCGACATGATTGACTTGTAAACCTGGCTTCCTGTGCCTGCCAGTCGTGCCTCTAATCCATCTGCAAAACAATGTGCCAACCTTTGACTGGCATCTCCCCTCGGTGACGAATGCTGCTTGATCTGCTTAAGTAGCATGGCCGCACTCCAACGATCGTCCATCGAAATGGCCTGTGCACAGTGGATAAGCAATGTGTGGAAGTCCACTGCCTCGTTCAAGCTCTGCCTTCGCAGTGCAGACTTCCAATTGCCCTTCCTCACGAACTTCCCATCCTTGCTATCCATAGTGATGTCCAGACCCAGCATTCCATTGAGGCACAAGCGATACTCATTGAGAATTATTTCATCAATTATCTCATCTGTTTCCTCCAGCTCCAGCACCATCAGCTTGCTGTTCCTGCTCATCTCTGCATTCTCCAAATCCTGCCAATTACACCGGTTCTTGCGGCCCCGGCCATTACTGATTCCTTGGAATGTTAACATTCTGTCCACCCTGTCTTCATTCCTCGCATGGCCTGGGACAAAGACTTGTGGTAGCTTGCAGCCTCGAGCCTCGACGAGAAGGCTGCTGTCAATGGGCAAGAATTTTTTGGCCTCCTTCATGCCCCTGAGGAACGCCTGGTTGAGCATGTCCATGTTTACCCTGTTCTGGTCACTGAAGAAGGTCGAGACTAGCGCACCATGTTCCCTGTCTCCTGTTCGAGACGAGGTGGTCGAGGCAGTCGTCTCCTCCTCGGGGTCAGCCAACAACTCCGAACACTGGATGCTGGCGCCGCCGCAATTCTGGAACGCGTTGGTTTCGTCCGCACTCTGATGGAATCTCGCGCTGGCGGTGTCTTGTTGGGGCAACAAGAATTGGTTGGCATCATCTGGAGTGAAGTCGTTGATTCCCGCTCCAATGTCTGGGCATGGCGAGGACAGGAGCAGCCGGGGGAACTCGGCCGGATCGTAGGGCCAGGTGGTGTTGGCGAACGCCGGGACGTCGGAGGATGGCGGAAGGGTGCAGGCGCCGCTTCCATCGCTGTTGGTGGCGAAAGAAACGGAGGCTGCGCCTGCATCGGAGAGGATCTGGGCGAATGGCTGCTGGGCCTGGAGGAGCGCTGGGTGGTCGGGGTAGTGGTACAAGAACTTTTCGTCGATGTCCTCCTCCATGAGGATGCGCGAGATGAAGGTTAGCGCGAGGTCGTCCGTGGAGACCGCCGGGTCCTCTTCGCTTGGCGTCGGGGGAAGGTCGAGGAAGACGGAGGGGGAGAACGGCTCAGGCTCGGGGTCCCGCTGCCCCAGGAACTCCTCCGGCGTGGCGACCATGACTGACCGGTGGTAAAAATCGAAGCTTTATCCGGTTGATGACGATTATGGTAGGTTTGCAGTGGAGAAAACATGGAGACGATGGAAAGGGACCAAATTGGGGTAGCAGTGGTGGAGGGTAGAAGATGGCGTCGGAGGGGACTGGGTAAGTCAAGCAGGGAACCTTCGTGGAAGGCGTCGGATACGACTGCGGCGGCGGCAGCCACAGTGGAGCCATTGGAGCACAGTAGAGCCATTGGAATGTCTGTTGCTCACTTGCTCTACAGTAGTGCGGTTCATGGAGGCGAGCTGGCGAGGCAACCAATTAGTGACTAGCGAGTGGGGCCACGAGTGTCTTTGCAAGTGGCCACTGGCCATGGACATACTCCGTAATAAATACCATTGTGGAGGTCATTTTGGTTCTTTGAACGAAGAATTTTGGTACCGATATATTTTTAAGGTAGCGATTTTTTACAGGAAACATGAAGTGTACTTGCAAACTGGCTAAAAAAATTTGGTCCTTTGAACATCAGGACCGAAGCGAGGTACACTTCCTAAACTTTAGTCACATCGAATATTTAACACTAATTTAGAGTATTAAATATAAATTAATTATAAAATTAATTATATAGATTGAGACTAATTTAGAGACGAATCTATTAAACTTAATTAGTCCATGATTTGGCAATACGAAGCTACAGTAAATATTTGTTAATGATAGATTAATTAGGCTTAATAGATTCGTCTCGTTAATTATTCTACTCTTGTGCAATTAGTTTTATAACTAACTCATATTTAGTTCTTCTAATTAACATCCAAACGTTCGAACTTTAGTCCCTGGTCTAAATATGGTTAGTGGCTTAGCTTTGGTCAGGGCTGTGGAGGTGCTTCGCGTTGAGTCGCTGATGTAGAGGCCCTCAAGGTGGAGACTAGAGTGCTCGTCACAAATTTTTTGCCACAACGGCTGCCACTCTGCTCTCCAGCCCCGCTGCCACAAGTCCTGCTCCTCACATCTTGTGACAGTGTTCAAGGGGGAAAGGGTAGGGTAAAGGGAGGTGGGGATTGGGCTTTGGGGCCAACAGATTTGAGGTCGAGGATGGGGACGTGGTGGGGCAGACTGCAGACAGAATTAGGGCCTGTTTGGTTCTTCCCTACCTCCTAAAATTTATGTCACATTGAATGTTTAAACACATGTATGGAGTATTAAATATAAAATAATTACGAAATTAATTGCACAACTTGCGACTAATTTACGATACGAATCTTTTAAGTCTAATTAGTCCATGATTCGACAACGTGGTGCTACAGTAAATATGTGCTAATGATATATTAATTAGGCTTAAAAATTCGTCTCGGAAATTAGCCTCTATCTATGTAATTGATTTTGTAATTAATTTATATTTAATGCTCCTTATTAGCCTCTAAACATTTGATATGATATAAATTTTAGGAGCGGCTAAAGAACCAAACACCCAGAAAGGCAACAGCTTTGTGGGGAGCACTGCTCGGTTTATTCGGATACCCCGACGTTCGGAGCCGAGAGGATTGGTTTTCTGTCGCCGGAACCAAACAAGAGACTGAAAAACAAGACTTCTATCGGTCTAATAGAGAATGTACTTTAGCCATTGTATATGTCATGTTATTATTAAATAGTATATAGTTTTCAAATACTTTATTGATGATATATTTTATAAGATGTCTATGTAATTTGCCTTACCATTCTACGGCCTTAAGTGCATTAAGAAACAAATTAATTTGGACATCTTCTTTTTAACAAAACCTGGAACGTCAAAAATCAGATAGAACAATCAATTAGTTTGGGAGACATACGCGTGCTTCGTGCTATTCCGGGCCGTGCCTCTAGGCACGTGAAGCACGTCGGGCCACGGCGATATGGCACGGTAAATATTTTCTTAGGCCCAAGCATGACTTGTGGCACGCTAACATGTCTTTGGGTTATGCCGGACTGCCGGTCCATGGTCCTCAAAATATCTTAGCTAGTTTTTTTTTCGTTCATGATATAAAAATTATATATCTTGTATGTGTACTATTTTTATGAAAGTTTTAATGATTTTCATAATCTATTCAAGATTTAGACGAGAGGTAGTATAGTAAATGTTAGGAAATTGCATCGTAGAGTTTTAGATGTGTCTACGTGCCATTTTCGTGCCGTGCCGACCCAAGCATGACTCAAAATGCGGGTCGGGCCATGTAGCCCACCGTGCCAAGATTCTAGTCACGGCATGGTTCTCATGTTCGTGTCGTGCTGGCACGGCCCGGTTCTCGTGTTCTTGTCGTGTCGGCATGGTCCAAAAAATTTCGTATCGTGCCATGCTTTAAAATCCGTGTCATGACCCACCCTCAAATAACACGGCCCAAGTCCCAGCTCTACGTGCATGTGTGACAAAAAAAAACTACATGTGAAAAGTTTTTATACAGTCTCAGCTGGCATCTAAATCTTCTTCACCTCTTTAGTCAATAGACGTGCAAAATTTTGGGTCTGTTATGCCTAGCTAATTTACCAATGCTAAATATGGTGTATTCGGATCAGATAAATAAATAGAAGTAGCTTCAAAGAGGATTTTTAAAAATCATTTTTAAACTTACTCTCTAAATGATCATTTAGAGAGTCGTTTTAATACAAATTGCATTCTACTCCCTCCGTCCCAATATATAAGACGTAACCGCTTTTTATTCATGTCCCATAATATAAGGCATGCTCTCTCTTGGAGGCACATGCATCGATGCACTAGTATAGAGAGAATTAAATGCGTTCCTTGGTCTTTGAATCGGAGATGGTTATGCCTTATATACTAGAACTGAGGGATTATCTTTCTATCTCTCATAGTTTTCTACTTTGGAGAGCTAATTTCATTCTTTATCTTTGAGTAACTAGAAATTTAAAATAAAATAATAATATTTAAAGATCTAATTAAAAAACTATTTAAAACCTTGTTTTTATTAAAATATTTATTTCTATTAATAAAGAAGGATATACGATATTTTTGAGCTCTCTAAAATATTAGTGAACTCTAGTGACAATCTGTTCGGTTGGCTGGTTCGTATCGTTGCTGGTTCGTAAACAAGTACTGCTGACTAATTTGTACGAGAGAAAAATATTATTCTAACCAAAAATTTACGATCATATAAGACAAGCACGACCCAAACAAACAGGCTGAGTGAACTCGACTAGTCTGCACTCTGCAGGCTCGCGGCCGCACTTCCAACTGTAGAACAACAGAACTTCTGTAGCACTGGCCGCCGCGTCCGCCGCGCGAAGTAGCATCCCGACGCCTTCCCCGAACCTTCGCTGCTTGACTCCTTCTACCTTCCGCTGCCGGCGTCAAAGTCTGCCAGTCCCATCCGATCCACCACGGGCACAGCTACCCCGATTCGGTCCCTCTCCATCTCCATTGTTCCCCCACTCTATTTTTACCGCCGATCAGGCATGGGCGCCACGCCGGAGGAGTTCCCGGGGCAGGGGCTCCCCGAGCCTGAGCCGTTCTCCCCCTCCGTCTTCCTCGACCTCCCTCCGACGCCCAGCGAGGAGGACGCGGCGGCCTGCACGGACGACCTCGCGCTCCCCTTCATCTCGCGCATGCTCATGGAGGAGGACATCGACGACAAGTTCTTTTACCACTACCACGACCACCCCGCGCTCCTCCAGGCCCAGCAGCCATACGCCCAGATCCTCTCCGATGCCGCCGCCGACGACGACGATTCTTTCACCACCAACACCATCGGAAGCGGCGCCTGCACCCTCACGCCGTCCCCCGATGCCCCGGCGTTCTCCAACGCCACCTGGCCCTACGACCCGGTCGAGCTCTCCCAGCAGCTCCTGTCGTCGCCACGCTCAGGCATGGGAGCGGGAATCGACGACTTCGCCGCAGATGGTGGCAACCAACTTTTGTTGCCCCAACAAGACACTGGCAGCAACAGTGAGGAGTTCTTGGATACTGCGGTGGAGACAACGACAACGGCCACCTGCTCTCTTTCTCCTACCGGGGATGGGGAACACGACGCCCTGGCCTCGACCTTCTTCAATGGCCGGAACAGGGTAGACATGGACATGCTCAATCAGGCGTTCCACAGGGGCATGGAGGAGGCCAAAAAATTCTTGCCCATTGACAACTACAACATCCTTGTCAATGAGACTCGAGGCAGCAAGCTGTCGCAAACCTTTAGGCCCCCTTTCGAATGCGGGAAGCATTTTTCCTGTGAAAATGAACTAATTCATGTGAAATTCCTGCGTTCCAAAGGGGCCCTTACCGCTGAGGATATGAGGAATGAGGACAATGCAGACGGAAGATTAACATTCCAAGGAATTGGTAATGGCCGGGGCTGCAAGAGCCGGTATAATTGGCAAGACTTGGAGACAGAAAGAGGCAGGAAGAGCAAACTTATGGTGCCTGAGCCGGAGGAAACAGGTGAGACGATTGATGAAATAATTCTCAATGAGTATTGCTTGTGCCTCAATGGAATGCTGGGCCTGCGCATCAGTATGGACAGCGAGGATGGGAAGAAGAACATGAAGAAGGGGAATTGGAAGTCAGCATTGGGAACGCAGAGCTCGAATGAGACAGTGTACTTGCACACACTGCTTCTCCACTGTGCACAGGCTGTGTCGATGGACGACCGTTGGAGTGCGACCAAGCTACTTTGGCAGATCAAGCAGCACTCCTCGCCAAGGGGAGACGCCAATCAAAGGTTGGCGCATTATCTTGCAGAGGGACTAGAGGCGCGATTGGCAGGCACAGGAAGCCAGGTTTACAGGTCGCTCATGTCAACGCGCACCTCGCTTGTGGAGATGCTCAAAGCCTATCAGCTGTACCTAACAGTTTGCTGTTTCAAGATGATGGCATACAAGTTCTCCAACATGACCATCGCCAATGTTATCGCCGGGAGGAAGAAGTTGCACATTGTAGACTATGGCATACATCACGGGCTCCAGTGGCCAAGCTTGCTTGGCATTTTGTCTACTTGGGAAGGTGGACCACCGGAGGTGAGGATCACCGGCATTGACCTCCCCCAGCCTGGATTCCGCCCAGCTGCTCAGATTGAAGAAACCGGGCGTCGGCTTAGTAAATGTGCTCGCCAGTTTGGCATACCATTCAAGTTCCATAGCATCGCAACAAAGTGGGAGATGGTTTCTGTTGATGACCTGAACATTGACCCTGACGAGGCACTCATCATCAATGGTCTATTTGATTTTGGGCAGTTGATGGATGAGGGTGTCGACATATATAGCCCAAGCCCTAGGGATATGGTCCTCGATAACATCCGAAAGATGCGGCCAGATGTGTTCATCTTTTCTATTTTCAATCTCTCCCATGGGACGCCATTCTTTGTAACACGGTTCCGGGAGGTACTGTTCTATTTCTCGTCAATGTTTGACATGCTTGATGCTACGGTTCCACGGGACAATGACCAACGCTTGATGGTTGAGCGGCACTTCCTTAGACGGTCTGCCCTGAATGTCATTGCCTGTGAGGGCTCTGATAGGGTGGAGCGCCATGAAATGTATAAGCAATGGCAAGTGCGGAACCAACGGGCTGGACTGAGGCAGCTACCGTTGGACCCAGGTATCGTTAAGGTCGTGAGGAAGAAGGTCAAGGACAGCTACCACAAGGACTTTGTAATTGATGTGGATCACCAGTGGCTCTTGGAAGGGTGGAAGGGGCGCATAATTTGTGCCATGTCAACATGGGTTGCAGATGATGCTTTCTCAAAACATTAACTGATTCTCTCCATCAATTCTGGGAGTAAGGTATTGATATTTTCGTATCCTTGGACGAAAGAAGAAATTACTAACCTAAGTTTAAGTATGTAGACATTATCATGTAATGTAAAATTATATGTTCATTTAGGTGGCCTAGTATGTTGGATCTACCATATAATTGCATCTGTTGATGTACGATTTCTGCATCTGTTGATGTACAATTGATTTCTGCATCTGTTGATGTACAATTGGTGTTGATGTACAACAAACTGAAAAACCTTGGGGGTTCTGTTTTCATGTATACTCACGCTGATGTATTTATGAGTGTTATTCTGTAGCTGGCAAGCAATTTCTTGTGAAGTTCACTTTCTGTCGTACCATCAGATTTTTGGTGCTTCCCTTGCGCATCTGGAAGGAGGAAGAGGTGCTTCATTAACCACTAATGTCGCATTGGCTATTCACAATGGGAGTGATTGGTTGTCTGGCTCAGATCCTAATTCCTAAGCCAGGCTAGGATTTAGCCAATGGCTAGGCTAGAGAGAGCTCGGTGGGCTGAATTTGGCCTGGCCAAATAAGTTTGCATTTGTCGCTAGCGCGCATTGCTTCTGGCTCACATGTGGTGTGGTGAGTTTAACATCAGTCCTGACCCTACTCTCTTTTCTCTCAGCTAGCATAAAACAACTCGCATTCAGAGTGAAGTGCCATACAACCATTCCGGTAAACATACAAATTGGCAAAGGAATGCAACGATCGTATTGACAGACATTTCTTCTTTCAGCATTTCTTACCAACCGAAATTTCAAAAATACCATCACAACAGTCGCAATTTTTTTTTTATTGTCACATCTCAGAACCAAGGCGTTGGCAATCTAAAGTTTTGCATGACACTACATTCTGAGAACAAGCAAACAATCAGAAATTCAGAGTTCAAGCGAACCAGCAGCAACATTTCCAATCCTTCTCCCTTCTCTAAAACTCTCTTGAATCGACCCAAGCAGCAGCTAGCTGCTTCCTTCACCACTGATGAACCCAAGCAACAGCTCCATCCTCCAATTTCTCTCAATCTACAATCCTGTACCCTTTCTGTTTCCCCAATTCAGAGCAGGCTGTCGAGCAAACAGAGTTTCAGGCTGCCGTCCATATGTGGGCAGTCGGAGGTGGCCAGCCCACCAGGAGCGGCTGTCACTCGGTCGTCAGTGTTGCAGTTTGGCAGGGGGTCCGCCGGTCCAGGTCCAGTTCTAGCTCCAGCAGCAGGCACTGTGTGGAGACCTGCCCAGCCATGGCCGTTGCCGACCTGAGCTCCTCTGGTGGTGCCCGTGCCATCAGTCATCAACAATTCAGTATGTACTGACAGGCGCCGGTTCCAAAAACCCAAATAACGTTGAATTTTCCTAGAATCTGTCCATTCTTCATCTCTTCGTCGACCAGGAGTACAATATATATTACATTATATAAACTGATACGCATAAATCTGAAGAGAAACCATACCCAGAAAACATAGGTCAGCAGTCACTGTCACTTCAGATCGACAGATGTCTAGGACTGAGTAGTTCCCCGGCTCGCGCTGGCCGCCAACTCCACTCCCAGGCTCCCAGCTACTTTGCTTGCTTCCATGTTCAGCGACTCAGCTGCTCAACTCAAGCTGAACCCATGCAGGAAACTCACACCCAAAGCGGATGGAGGCCTTTAGCACAAGCAAATCAATCCCTACATTAGTATAGTATGCAACTGGATTCTGGATCTGTAGAATGATCACCTACTCTCACTACCTCCTACCTTACAGTTTACAAACCTAAAATTGCCTGTCTGAGTGATATTAATAGCAAGCCACTGCTATCTGGATAAGGGGCTGCACTGCAACAGCCAGAATAGCTGCTTCCCTAAGATCAGAAGAAAGAGCCCCTGAACCAAACCAAACATGAAGAAGTGCCGCCAGGCCTACATAAATGGGTCGACAGAGCTCAAAGCGGAGTTGATAGTCACAACTCACAATCCCTGAATAAGGTTTTCCAATGACATCCTGAGGAACCTGGACCTGGAAATTAAGAGTAACAAAACTTCAGTGCATAACTGTGGGCATGGGCTGGTATCATGTATACAGCAATCGTATGAACATGGTGTAAGTGCAACCGGTTATTGCCCTGTAAAATACTTATATCAGCCCAGGACAGGACCGGTACCCAGCTCTAATGTTCAACATTTGTGAAAAATAAAATACATGGGAGATGCACTGGACTACTTCTGCAGATAACATGCATCCTCTTGCCACAAGTGCCAGCAAGAGCAATAAAACAAAGGAAATTGTTCCACATAGTAGGCATGGCGCACACAAAAGAATTTTGCATGTACATTGCATACCTTAATATCCTTCAGAAGTTCAGACGTTCTTGGCACCACCAAAAGTTGAATTGGGGCGTATTGCAAATGCAGACAGATCCTGCTGAACATAAGAAAAGCAAGGGCAAATAAGTTCAGAGAGCATATCATTTTTGTTGCACCTACATCCATAATGCCTAGCTAAACTCCATACCCATATTTTTGCTACAGTTAGTGTTGTCTGCATCTTTATTTGGTTCTGTTCTCTCTCAGGGTCTTGCCAACAGTTGACCATGCATTAAACTTTCCATAAGTGACATGAAGAGCTCAGGTCCTAAATAACTTCTCTAAAAGAAGACCCCTGAACCGATCTACCAAATGAAGCATCTTTTTTCACGAGCCACAAGTTTATTATTTTCTTGGAGTTTAACATATGGTGTTGTTATAAGCTAAAAAGCGAATAAAGGAAATAGTCTGCTATTTGGGGTAAAGATCCTTTTTGGGACATAATGTGAGGCTTTCCCTCACCAACTTGGTTCAGAAGTTCAGAGCTCAGCGGCTGCGATATCTAGAGTTCACATCATCAATTTGCTTCAGTTCAGTTCAGAGTTAAACTTGATATGTTGTTGCATGTCTCCCGGAATCCCGTTGCCATTGTGTGAAGGGTGTTGCTGCTGCTTTCTGTTGGTTGACCTTTGTGGCCATGTATATGGTGACTTCCTCAACTTCAAGTCACACCAAAGGATCCTTCAGACATGATTTGCCAAAGTTCTCCTCATGTGTGACACGCACTTTGGGGCAACATCCAACCATCAAGCTTAAACTATGGCCACCATCACCGCTTGAAAATGAGCTATTCTGGAGTTAGAAGGTGGCATGTACAAAGGGCCAAGGACTGTACACACAGAAAGCGGTGCCCACTAATGCAGGTCAACATTTTATCTATACTTGATATAAAAGCAGAGAGAGACCTCTACAAAGAGAACCCACCCACCCACCGCCTTCTGTCAAATCATATTGATCTTTTGCAAGGTGAAAGAAACATGTTCAGGTCAGTCTGTCGATGAGAGTACCTGCGGTGTGCAAAGGGGCACTGTGTGCATATTTGGATGCATGTACATCTGATTTGGTTGGATAGGGGCATTTGGAAAAGTCTGCTGAACCTGAACACGAAGTATGTAAGTACAATATCCATTAAATGCCAAAAAGAAAAGGAAAAAAGGAACTTTTTCTATGTACCTGATAGTAATATGGTCTTCCAATGGTTTCATTACCCTGAGCATCTTGTGAAGATTGAAATTGATGCTCATTAGTTTGGACTATCAGCTCCAGACCAGTTGAGGAAACTCCTGGGGCTTGTTTTGGTTTTTCTGCATAATAGGGTATAGTTTGAATAAAATGATACCCTATGAGGAGGAGTTTAAAATTGTCACTTACTTGGGTTTGGTCCTTTTGATGTTTTTTTCTTCTTTTTCTCGTTCTTATTAGCATCCTTTGCTGCTTGAGTGCGCATGTTTCTCATTTCAAAGAATACTTCCAGTGCCTTCTCTCCAGTTTCAAGGGAATCCCAGAATATTTTTCTTGATTCTTCCACTTCCTGGCTCTTTATAATTAGGTTATATGCATACTGCATTGCCCGATTGCGATATGCAAGTTCAGCCTCTGTGCATTCCTGTTGGGTTGAATCATCCTGAGCAAGTGTATACATGCTTCTCCTGGCATCTTTTGTCCAGCGTTTCAAAACATACTTTTCTGGAATTGTGTCCACATTCTGCAGGGTGATGACTTTGAGGGCATGCGAACAAAGAAGACCCATCCTTTCAAACTTTCTACAACCACAACTGATCTCCATGGTGGAAGTGTCAAGAACAACATCCCATACTTTTGAGCCCCTTCCCTGCATTGTAATTCCAAACCTCAATAAATTTCCACCACTCGAAGTCTCGTGGCATGAAGTTGCTCCACACCCATCCAGAAATTCTGCTTCAAATAATTTGTAGATCCTATGTGTATATGATTCTGCAGCTTGCTTCAGAACTGTGCTATGCTTAATTGCACGGACTGGAGCAGTTTGGCTACAGCGAAAATCCTCTTCAGATTCATTTCTACGTAGATCCTTGACAACCTTTTCTAGCAAAAGGGCAAAACGTGTAAGAGAGGTATTTTCATCAGAAATTCCATTGAGAATATTACTTGAAACCTCCCCCCACTGAGAAGAATTAATTCCACCATCAAATGTATCTTTGTTAAATGCTGAGCACCATTTACGATGGAATGTATAAAGGTCAATCAACCAGCTATTATCCTGTAGCTTGTATTCCTGGATCATTGCAGTCCATGATTCCTTAAAATCCTCTTCTGAGTCAGATCCTTGCATACACTTGGTAAACATACTTTGAAATGCTTGAGACGTATTTAGTGAGCCTAAATGAGATTGTGCATTCTTCAGAATATGCCAGTAGGAAAAGCAATGTTGTGTGTTAGGGAAAACCTGTTCAACTGCCTGCATAATAGCTTCATCCTGATCAGTGAATATTGATTTTGGTGATCGGCCTCCCATTGACTCCAAGAATGATTTAAATACCCAGCCATAGGAAGCTACAGACTCATCTAACAAGAATGCGCAGCCAAAAACAACATTCTGCCAATGGTGGTCAACACCAACAAATGGGGCGCATATCAAGTTATATTTGTTTGTGCGGTAGGTTGTGTCAAATATAATGGCATCTCCAAAGCATCCATAATCATTTCTACTTTTACCATCCCTGTAGAAGAAGTTAGTCATGCGCCCTTCTTGATCAACTTGGACATCCCAATAGAACATGCCTTCTTCATTAGTTCTACGCTTGAAATAGCTGACAAGACTTTGGCTATCCCCTGCCTCAATTACCGTTATACTCTGCATGCCCACTTGATTGTAACATTCCCTTATAGTATACCCTGAATTCTCAGCTACATCACCTGTCATATCAGAGAAACCATTAATTGGATGTGACTCTGTAGATGCTGATGGATCTATAACACCTGATTTGCCAACAGCAAGCGATTTGGCTGATCTCAGCATGTGCCTTTCTCCAGGTTTCGCCAACTGGTGATTATGTACAGGAACAAAGCGTATAACTGTCCATCGCCCCTTCTCATCAACTCTAAAGCGGATCATTGCTTTGCAATTAGTTCTTGTGTCTGGTCGATTAAAATTTGCTTCTGTAACAGGCTCATCATATTTAAGCCCTTCCTTTGAGCAGTAGTAATCCTTTGTTCGAATATTCTTGGTACCAATAAAGTAAGACTGTTTGCCCTTCCGCACACTGAAACCGATTCGATGCCCATAATCACAGTACAGCCTGTATGCCTCTTCCTCACTATGAACTACACAACCAAGAAGCTCTTCTGTTGCCTCCTTACGACTCAAAGCATTTCCATAGTCAGCCGTCTTTTCTGCTTCTTCACCATTCTCCCTTCTTTGATGGCTTTCTTCTTGGGAATCTAGACTGCAGTCCATTTCTACTCAGCTAGCTCCATCAATATTTACAAAGACAGCATCAGAAATGGTTCCACACTTCCAGTAAACTGCTGCAAATCAACATTCAAATAGACCTTGTAAGATGCATAAATTAAAACATTTGGTCTCGTAATTATGGGGAATCTTAACATGAAAGCTGAAAAAAAAAAGATTCCCTATTCTACATAGGATGTTGATTACATCAATAATATCAAGACGGTGCTAGTGGATGGCCTTGTGCTGCAACATGACATGACGCCTGAGTTCTAAACTCTTACTTTTTTTTAATAACCAAACAAAAGAAGGCTTATAGCTAAGCTCTAATTTCATCGGATTATCTAGAGAAGAAGGTAATTGCTAAACCCTCGAGCAGGGGCGGACCCAGTAAAGCACACCAATAAACTTTATATCAAAACAATCGAATTTCTTAGGTACACAAACTTGTAATTAGATCAGATCCGAATACAAATACCCAAATAGATTAAGTTAGGGTTCGGGTACTCGGTTTCGCACAGCAGGAGGGAAGAGAGGGTGCGCATACCTGGTGGGTGTTGGTCACCGGCGAAGGGCCTGAACGCGAAGGAACCGATGAGGATAGACCCAAGCACGTGGCGCAGGGCAGCCGGCCGCGGTCGCCTAGTGGCGCCACGAGAGCGCGCCCGCGCGCAAGCAGAGTAGTCGGGAGAAGGAAAGGCAGGAGTGGGCAAAGATGGTTCTGACCACTCCCGTCCACGGAGGCGATTTCCGCCGGAGTAGCCGGCTCCGGCCGCCGCTCCAGAGTCTGACGAGAGAGCAAAGCTCTGAAACGCCGCTCCAGGAGGAAGAACGAACCGTTATCGTGGGCCTTTTGGTGTGTTTGGGTTGGGCCTTGCGTTTTGTATAGGCCATCTCGTTTAGTTCATGTGGCCCATCTCACGTTGCATTGCATCGATTCAGTTCTCTCTCTTTTTTTTTTTTTTTTTTGATGTCTGCATCGATTCAGTTCTGCCATGCGGCTAGGGCTTAGATGCCGGCGCGGAGGCGGACAGACCAGAGACTCGGCGATCCGGCGAGCCTAACGAAAGGGTGCCAAGTGTGCAAGTTGTCGCAGAAGTTGATGGCACCTTCGTCGTGTCGTTTTTTTTTTTTGGAGTTGAGAGAGAGAGAGGTGAGTGTCCTACTATACTATACGGTGGTGGACATGGATATAGCCTCCTCAATTGATAGCTGGCCTGCCCACCTGGTTTGCGGGTTTTGACGGTACGCGTTGTGGCTGTCATCGTAAAATAAATCGCATAGAAATTCAAAGTAGTAACATGTCATATATCCGGAGTATATATTCATCTCCTTAGATGCATCATACATGCATGCTATAATCTCCGTAGGAAACACCGCACACAAGTTCTCCTTTGTTATAAGTTCCCTCGATTTGTCCGACAGAAACCACGCTTGCTTCTGAGTCCATCATCTGGCCTCTACATATCACATCCCCGGCCGATCGATCACCAGCCGTCCACCACTGCTACGTACGTGCACCCGAATTTTTTATTTTTTTAAGCTCTTTTTTTTGAAAATTTTTCACTAATATGCCCCTAGAGGTAATATTTCAAAATCTGGACCCTTAGCTCGGCGCCATCATTGCTGGCGCCGAACTTACACGTCTAGGCACCATCGTTGCTGGCGTCGAGCTCTTGGGCTCGACGCTGACGTGGCGATGATTTGGCAGGAAGCTCGGCGCCGTAGATCTTGGCGCTGAGCTCGGCGCCATAGATCTTGACGCCAAGCTTGACGCCGAGATCTTGGCGCCGAGCTCGGAGCTGTGGTTACTGGCGACAAGCCTGTCTTACGTATGGGCCCCAATCCTTTCCCTCTTCCTCTCCCTCTCTCTCTCGCACCACCAGCCTTCGCCCGGCGCAATCACCGCCGCCCGCCGCCGCCGCCGCCTCTCGCCCCCGCCCATGCATGCCATACATTGCGCCTCGCGCTCGCGCCCGCGCCGCCCGCCCTTCTTCCTTTCACCAGCTCCCCCTCTCTCCCGCCCCCAGCCCGCCCGCCGCCACCCGCCACATTGTCGTTGGTCGTGGCGCGCCCACCGCCCGCCCTTGCCCTGCTGCCTGCGCATTGCGCCGCAGGTCAGGACTGCGTCTTGCGTCACCGCCCGCCCGGCCTATCCACCGTCTTGCGGGCGCTGCCGTCTTGACCTCGCCGTCTGCGGAGTGCCGCCATCCGTGCCGCCACGTGCCACCGCCGCCCCAGCACTGCGGCCTTCGGCCGCAAGTACCACCGCCCGGTGCACTGCTCTGCTGCGCCAGTACCACCACCCACCCGCCTCGTCGGCCTCACCCACGCCCGGCGTCCACTGCGACTCCGTCGACGTCCGCGACTTTGTCGTCGGACCGGTAAAAATTGTGAATTTGCAGTGTACGTACTTAGTTAGCTTTGATTATAGTATAATAGTTTTGGCATTTGTTATTGTCGCAGAACCGATCAATTTATAAGAGCACAAATACAATGGCAGCCCGCAAGCGGACGCACTGTCATACTGGAGCCCATATAAACCCGATAATCTGTCGAGTACCACGACGGGTCTCGATAAACGATCCACAAACAACCAAGATCGTACATAATTCAACATACATGTCACATATTACATAAAGTTCGCAGATACATTTTCATCATCAGAGTATGAAATAAAGTTATTACAAACCAAGTTTGATAGATAATAGCGGAAGCAAATTAAGTTCAAAAGTAGCATTTATCAACATAGTTTAATACCGTGCCAACATAAGATCACAGTCCACAAAAGCATGTAGAAGGATTAAATAAGAAGCATGCCCAAGGCTTACTCCTCATCCACAGCGGGATAGAAACAACTCTTGCAATAACCATGATACACAGTGCCATCTGCAACAATGGGGAATAAAACCCTGAGTACGAGAAAGTACTCAGCTAGACTTACCCGTCATAAACCAGAAATAAAATGACTCCAAGGATCATGCAAGACTGTATAAGTGGGGATAGCTTGACAACATTTTGCATAAAAAGCGATTAAATCAGTTATACAATTATAATTCTGTTATCAAGTTAATTATAACTATCCATCTCTAGATTAGCAACTATCCTGTGTCAAACATGTGGTATATCATTTTAAAAGCATACAATAGTAACTATAGCAGGTGTAATAATTCCATATTTATCCGAATCATCAACTTCCATAATACAATTACTACGATGTTGGAGCTAGCCAAGTTTCTCACTATCCGGGAGAGACAGCGATTCGAATCGATTTCAACTAGCTATGAATTTATTCCTAACACAAACCCACACTTCCCTATCGAGGTCGCATCGGGTCACCTTTGGTACAACTCAGGTACATATTTCACTTTTTCATCGGCGTCGCATCGAGGACACCAAATGCCAGGACGTTCAGGCCTAGCCTACCCTTGGGCTTAGTCTAGCTCCCCGCAAGGAGCGCATAACAGAACGGGGCCCGGCCTGAGTTGAGCTACTCGGCTTCGCGGTCGGAACGAGTTATCCGGCCAGCTAAGTGATAGGCATGCGTTCAATCTTGTCAGAAGTTCCAACAACGGTACGGTCCTTGATCGACACAAACGGAATCACATGAGTCAACCTACACATAGACTCCGCCCCATCTCGATTTATATTACCCCATGGTTCTTTTCCACGATAGCAAATATAACCAACTGTTCTTCGGTATCCACCTATATCTCGCAGGTGACAGGAAATCACCTGACTTCTACCGGTCTAAGCATGGCTAAGCATATATTCGATTCTAGACCTACACAGGGTTAAAGGTATATTTCTGGACAAGGAATTTATATGCATCAAGTGGTTCCAACCAACTCTTATAACTTAATGCATCAATCATAAAGGACTCGAATAATATTTTATAAAACACTAGGAGACTTAGAATGCTCCGGGGCTTGTCTTTCAGAAAAGAAGTGGGACGGTGATCAGGGCACTCCGGAAGCTCTTCTAGGGTCTGCTCCTCTTCTTCGGGAACTGCGGCTTGAGGAATCTCCTGCTGGTCCCCTTCCTCTCCTTCGTTGAATTCCAGCGACGTTATCTCCTCTGTCGATCCTAGATGCATGAATATGGCATAAGATATTGCGAATGCATACATGCTGACAATTATAATGTGATGATACATGATGAATGTATTTTTGTAAGTATTCTTAACAGCATGTTGTTAAAGTAATAACAATCACATTTTACTGAGTAGGTGCATATCTCTTCTTGATTACTTAATCAAACACATTTACGATTCATTTACTACACCACAAAACAGCAGCTGCTTGTTTTACTCATAACTGGAGTTATATATATCAAAATCATATGATTGTGGACATTCTGGAAAGCTTATAAAATTATCTACATCTCTTATTTAATCACCAAAAGCTAATTCACACTTTATCTTAACCAAAACAGACAATCAATTCAGTCCTGTCCAGAAACTCCAGAGAGTAAGCATTTCGGATACTAACTTTAAACAGCTATAACTCCTAAACCTTTTGGCCTATTGTTCTGAAATTTTAACACAAGATAAAAGAAGAAGTTATATACAACTTTGTTATTAACCATTCTTACAGCAAACACCATTTTTACTATGCAACATACCAAATCACAGAATCTGTCCGAAAACTCTTCTTACCCGAATTATAAAGCAACGATATTCTTATTGCATATAAACATTCCAAATTTGACTTCACCAATCATACCAACAGTACAAGGACATCAAATACACTCAAGAAAACATAATGGTCATGCCCAAACTATTTATTTAAATGTCTTTATCAATTTACTAAGATACTTAGATTAAATAATAAACATATATACCAAATGTGCATCATAAATTCTCAGAAATTTACGGTGGCTTACTAGTGCTACCAATAGACTACTGTAAAAGTTTCATGTCATTTTACCAAGTAAAACATTCTAGGCAAAAATGACAAGGCATAAAGGCTTAAAATAGCATAAATAGAAAACACTAGTGAAAAGTGTCAAGCAACACATTTTATATTTTTCTTAGCATCCATATGGTATTAGGACAACCTCCAATAAATTTCATGAGCATTGGATTCATAAATAATTTATAACAATTTACACAAGGATCACCTAATTATAAAAGAAAAATCTATAATTACAAATCCATACATGCACTGACCCTCAAATTTTTATCAGAGCTTATGCTAGTCAAGAACAGCTTACCACAAAAATTTCATAATTTGTGGAGCACATGAACTCTATATATAAAATAAACAAGTTTACATACATTTAAAAACACATTTTAAGTTTCCATTTAAATCCTCCAAAAACTCTACTAAAAATGCTAATATTATATTTTTCCTAAATGCTACACTTCCTAAGGAACACTACAAAATTTAGTTCACAATTTTTTTGAATCTACACAGCTCAACTTATCTATTTTCAAAGATGCACATAAAACAGGAAATAAATGCACTAGCTTCAGTACTACTGTCACTGACAACGGGGACCCACTGGTCAGTCGGACCCACACGTCAGCGGAACAAAGCAGGGCAGTGGCACTGGAACGATGATGTTCGGCCATGGCTCATCGCCGGCGAGCTTTCCGGCGAAGCCAAGGGCACCAACACGATCTACTAAGCAAACCGCGCCGGATGGTCTAGGTGGTGGCCGTGCAGGTGCGGCGGAGCGGGCTCGTCGCCGGCCATGGCGGCACGACGGTGCTGCTCTGTGGTGTGCCGGCCGTCACTGGCCATGGCGAAGCCCGGTGAAGCGCGCAACAGCATCACGGTGACCAGACGACTCTATCTAGGCGACTTAGGCGATGGGAGATGCTCTGACGAAGCACGACCACGGCAACGGCCATGGCAGCACTCCAGCGAGGGTGTACCCGCGACGGCGCAAAGCGAAAAGCGGCTCACCTAGGGCACGAATGAGGGCGCTGCAAGGTGGAAACGGTGGAGAAAGGTGAGGCGGAGCTACGAGCGCGACCGATTGGGAAACTAGGGCGGCGGTGAACGCAGGCGAGCTCGGCGGAGCAGCTGCAACGACAATGGCACTGGTGGCTGCTGCGGTGGCTACGCTGAGGCGAAGGAGGAGGCCAGAAAACTAAAATGCGAGCGTGGGCGTAACGGGCGGACGCTGGGGGTGATAAAGACCTGCTCTAGCCCGGCATGGCCGCGCTGGGCAGAGCAACGATGACGCGTGGCTTCGCCAGCGGCTCCACGTGGCGGCCCAAGCCTGATGCCGATCGGTCACTGAACGTTGATTCAGTTCGTCAGTCACTACGATGTTAAGCCTGACAGCGTGTTTTGCAGCGAAGAATTCTCCAAATTCGTGGACTGTTAGCTAAAACTTCCTAAACCAATGTTGAAGCCCGAAGTACCAGCTCCAATTGTTGTTTAGAACTCATGCCTTGAATCTCAACCAATCTCAAGTTCTGTCATCCCAAAGTCGACGCGACCAAACTGTCAGTGCACATGACTTAGACAAATTTTGCTAAGTGTTGAAAACAGGGAATTGATGATTCTTGTGAGCCTAATTCAAGCATGTTAGGAGCTAAACCAGTCTATGATCCAAAAATAAAAGTTGTTCCTCTTGACAAATACTACAACTTTTCTTTAGTGACCACCTCTATGCAAGGTCTCTAGCACATAGTTCAAACTTGGTCAAACATGCTACATTCAAATGATGGTATACACTTAAACTATGACTTAGTGACCAAATTACCCTTAACCATGAATACCAAAGTTGTTCATAATGATATTTTAAACATGTCTAAGCTATTTGTAAGGTCACACAATCATTTCATGCATTGGTTACACATAGAGCTATCCAGGTCCACAACATCACTTAAGTACGTGATCATGCAAGGTGATCTTCATGAACTATGTTCCATTAGTTATCCTAAGTATAGCTATGATGTTTTAGTGACTCACATCAACCATTTACATGTATTCACTCATGATCATATGCATAGATATAAGGAAACATGAAATAACAAGCAATGTTGCATATGTTTCAATTGTAAAAGCTTAAATAGGAATGCTTGATGCTCATGCTCATGCAATGCAAGTCAATTTATGCAAGGCTAACACCTAGGGTGTTACAGTTATTTATTAGTTAATGTGATGACTTAGGTAGTTGATTTAGTTAGTGATCTAGTGAGATAGATATGTATATAGATAGAAACATAGATACATAGGTACATAGATATAGTTAGATAGCTACTTAGATGGTAGTTATATATTTAGTTAACTAAATATGATCTAGCTATTTAGTGAGTACACTGTATCTATGTATGTAGTTATTATTTTATTTACTTAGTTTGTAGTTAAAAAGTACTGGTTAGGTTCATCGAGTTGTCTAACTGCGGCTAGGTGCTTCTCCTTAGCCATCATTGGTGGGGGTTAGGGGGGTGGAACCCAACGCTGGAAGTGCTCACGTGGATGTCTCCCTCTACACCAATCGTCGAAAAGAAGGTACCTAGGGTCAAACTTCTCTGCACCGTCGATCCACTGAAAGAAAAAATCACCTCTCATGGTCCTACACAACGAGATTCTAGCAAAATATTAGTAGCTTACTTATACAAATGAAGAAAAAAATAGTGTAAACAATTACTTACATTAAAACGACTGCATGTGTATAAGCAACGCGCCATTGTGTCTGGATGTCTCGATTGAAACATGTCGGTCGGGAAACCACAGTTACAGTTAGGGATAAAGGGGGTCAGGAGGGACAGGGGCATCTTTGCTAAACGCGTCGGGGTATAATTCTCGAGGACGACCCCGTTTTCGCCAAAACTCCTCCCGATACATCTCTTGCATCTAACAAAACGGTTGTAATTTAACAAACAAAAATCAAACATCACAAATTAATGTCAATGAGAACCATAACTACAATACAACAAATTTCGTTCTAAGAACCGAAAATAATTAACATTAAACCATAAACCTAGGATTTCCCATTTGATGCACAACAATGAACCCATAAAATAACAACATGCGCTGTGGTTACCTAGATTTGCTAGCTTTTTCACGCCTTGACATCATCCTACGGTTGTATAATACAAATATTAAAAATTGCATGAAACCCTAAGTAAAGACGATTCTTAGCTTGAAAAATCTGACTAATATATACCGAATCGATGCGAAAAACTAGGAGGGGAGCGAGGATACATTGCTCTCGAAGATCTACGGATCAAATCAAAGTTTTCAAGGTCTAATATACCGATTCGTGAGGTCCTATAGACCAGGCCCGGGCGTTCGGGTTACCCGATTTTTTCGGGTCGGGTAATAAAAATTGCTACCCGATATTCACCCCGAAAAAGCACTACCCGAAATTTCGGGTACCCAATAATTTGGGTTCGGGTTTGGGTAATACCCGATATGCCCGAATTCATAGAAAAGAGCAAACTGCACGAAACTTTTGTAGCAATTTTATACATATTTTCAGAAGCGATTTGTATAAATTTTCAACAGCAATTTGCAGAGAATAATATATTACAGTCACTTGTTCAAACAAAGAGAATCCTATCATGTTCGCTTGAACTACTTTTCAGCCGAGTCAGCCTATTTAAGCTTATTCTCCCTCACAGAGCACTATTGAATCAGCCGAAACTAGCCGGCTTATATACCAGCCAAACAGGCCCAATAGCCCGAATTACCTAAACTTATTTCGGGTAGTCAGAATTGCTATCCGAATTTAGGATCGGGTACCTCGAGTTCGGGTAATTCGGGTTCGGGTACCGGTAATGGGTATAAGGTATTTTGCCTAGGCTTACTGTAGACGACGCAGGAGGGAGGGGGGGTCCAGAGTCTAATGAAACTTTTTTTTTTGTTCATATATATAGAATCCAATGAGCTCAATTGATGTAGCAATCCCTTTTTTTGCGCAATGATGTAGCAATCCAACGAACTAGATAGAGGAAGTGCTAGATGCAGCAATAATATTTCAGTTTCGAGTGGGCGCAGGACAACTGAAGTGTCAAATGGAGGTAAAGCATCGAAACTAGCTGGACATTTGCAAGACAAGGCGAGATTTAAAATACTCAGATTATACATTTTAGCATCTCTGGATTGAAATTCTTGTGTATGTCGCGAGGAACACAGAACTCCGTTGCGTTTGTGCTATCAGGAATTACAGGCAGAGTGGACAACAAGAAAATGAGAAAAAGAATTATATATAGCAGGAGCACCGCACCAAGAAGGCCACCACAGGGCACAGCTCGGCTCGCACAAGTCACAAGGGCTCAGGCTCAGGCGAGGGCTTCGGCACCGGCGACGATCTCGAGGATCTCCCCGGTGATCTTGGCCTGGCGCTGTCGGTTGTAGGTGATGGAGAGGTTCTTGGCGAGCTCGATGGCGTTGTCGGTGGCGCTGCTCATGGCGCTCATCCGGGCGGCGAGCTCGCTGGCGAGCGACTCCTGCAGGGCACGGAGGATCTGGCTGTTGAGGTAGAGCGGGAGCAGCGCGTCGAGGATCTGTACGGGGTCCTGCTCAAACTGCACCACGGGGGAGAAGGGCTGCGTCTCGATCTTCACCTTCTCGCGCTCCACGGTGAGCTTGCCCTCCTTGGTGGTGAGGCGGAAGAGCTCGTCCTCGGTGGCGTCCACGCAGACGCCGTTGATGTCGCAGATCTCGCCCTTGGGGGACATGGGGAGCAGCGTCTGGATGATGGGGTCGGAGCGCACCAGCGATACGAACTTGGAGTAGAGCAGCTCCACCTTGTCCACCTCCTCCGAGACGAAGAGCGAGTAGACGAGGTCGCAGATGGCCTGCGAGTCCTTGACGGTGGGCACGCCGTTCACCTCCAGATCCCGCTCCAGCGGGATGTAGGGGCGGCGCTGGAAGTAGGCGTTGCCCTTCTTCCCCACGCTGATGACGCTGTACTGGAGGCCCAGCTGCTTGAGCTCCTCGATGCGGGTCTCCGCCTTCTTGAGCACGTTGTTGTTGAAGCTCCCGCAGAGGCCGCGCTCGCCGGTCAGGACGACGAGCGCCACCTTCTTGACGGGGCGGGTGCGGGTGAGGGGAAGGTCGATGTCCTCCGTCTGGATCTCCTGGTTCATGTTGTAGAGCACCTCCACCAGGGCCTCCGAGAAGGGGCGGGAGGAGACGACGGCCTCCTGCGCGCGCCGGACCTTGGCGGCGGCCACCAGCTTCATGGCCTCCGTGATCTTCTGCGTGTTCTTGACGGAGTCGATGCGGGTGCGGAGCTCGCGGAGGGAGCACCGCACCACGAGGCCCGAGCGCGGGGCGGAGCGCCCCCGGGTGGAGGAGGCGCTGCTGGCGAGCGCCGAGGAGGACCAGGCGGTGGAGAGGTGGGAGCACGACATGGCTGCTGCTGGTCCGCGGCGACCGGGATCACCAACGGCGGCGCGCGGGGGGTGGAAGCGGAAGAGACAGGGGCGGGACGCGACGGGACGGGACGGGAGGGAGGGAGGGAAATGGGTTTGGATGGATTGGGTTTGGGTGGAGAGGTGAGCACGGTGGGGGATTCAAGCCGAGCTGAGTGGTGGAGGGGCAGTGAAGGCGAGATGGGGAGGATCATGTGGCTCCGCCGAGCTGGCTGCACCCGCTTTGCAGCATGCCGCTGACGCTCCAGGCTCCACACTTCATTTTTGGATTGTCGGGAATGAAAATCTGAATGAAAAACAAAAAATAATGCTCTGGCCTCTGGGGAAGAAAAAGGATAGTGGATCCTGCTCAGGATATCCCACCGTAAACAACAGATACTCTACGAGCCTGATTGGATGCCCGAAGCAGGACGTCCAAAGGGCATCCTGCATCCCTCCGTACATTTGCGCCGTGTTTGGTTGCTCTGCTCGCACTTTTTGCCTACATCTTTTCATTTGTTTGCCCTCCTCCGTTTGCCCTCCTCCATCCCGCACGGCTTCGTCTTCTGGATTTCTCCTTCCCTCATGGTGCAGGATGACTTGATTCACCCAGGATGCAAAGACCCATGCGTCAGACACCCAAAAAAACTAATGCATGCATGCAACCAAACACAACCCCGTCTCGTACTGAACCAATAGCCAAGACAACCAAACACGACCACCTACACGAGCTCAATCCGACTTCTTCGGTCCTGCACAGCCTGGCCATCCTGGCTCAAGGCTTTGCTCTGCAAACAATCACGCCCTACGACCACAATTTGGAGGGAGGAGCTCTTGCCCATTTCTACAGGAAACAAATTGTTTCCAGTGAAATCCTGAATAATTTGTGTTCCAAAAGCAACCCAAGTTTAAGGCCTGTCCGGAACACATCAATTTCATCACAATTCCGAGTTAAAAATGGAACTTTGATGATTCAATCTGCTGAGTTGAAGTTCACTCGTATAAAAAACGGCTCACCCAAATTGATGCAAAGTTCATGCCAAAAGAAGTACAGAGAGATGAAACTGGTATTTCAAGATAAAGCAAGGTACTCGAACAAGCGCACAGATTGAGAGATACAAGTACAAAATATCAGGTTTAAGGGGATGCAACCAATTCTGGGAAGTAAGTTGAACCTCAGGGTACAACGACAGGAAAGGTACTGATGACAACCGCGTAGCCTAATCCCTTGCAGATTGAGGATCTTTCCTTGGTGGCTTGTAGACACTGAAGTCACCGAAATCCCGCCGTCCACTGCACCACACAAGAGGACATACAGATAGCAGTAAATATCTGGTGATGAAAGGAAATCTGGACAAGAAACATCGTGACACAAAAAGATCTTTTAAGGTCACTGGTACGTGGCTAGAACTTCACATACAGCTTGGTGAATTCAAGAAAAGGCATATAATGAAAGGCAACTGACCTGTGGTTAATATTCCAGCCAGAAGGTAAATAACGGGGGTGAACAGCCTCAACAAAGATCTGCCTCCATCTTTGGCAAAACTGGTTAATAGCTTCCTCCCCGCCATTGGACAGCAAAAGTTCCACAACTTGTTTACCGTGATGCCCATGACCCAACAAGGAAATCTTCTTCTCAGCATTCTTGGAAATGACCTTGGTAGAATTGTCACGGATGGATAGTTCCCTGTCGAGATGGCTGTTTCCAGGAGTGCAGGCGCCTCTTGCTTGCTGATTGGTATCTGTCTCAAGTGTCGCAGTGTCATGATCAAAAGTGGTGTCCTCCATGCCGACTGGCAAACTTGAGCTTCCCTGGCTCAGGGTTAACTTCTCTAGCTGGTTTCGTTCCTCTGTCTCATCAAACTCTGGTTGACCATTACTCTCAGTTCCATCCTCAGAAAATCGCTCAGATAAGGCATGACAATTTTCTGATCCATGTCCACTGTCTTCTGAGATGGTATTGCTGCTGCTCTTTCTAATAATATTTTGAGCCTGAGCTCTAAACGAATAGCCCTTTTTCTTTTCAAGACGCCTTCGCTCATGAGGACTCATACCAACAAGTAATGCCATCTCGAGGTCTTCAGGAGTCACATCCCTACCACCATAGTATGATTTTACAATCTGCAAAGAATTGAATTGATCCATAACAGAGATCTATAGCTAAGAACAAGTACATATTTAACAAGGAAAGCATATGGACGGATAGGATAAAACAGGTATGTTAATACGTCAATGTCAGAGCTCCATAAACTGGTAAGTAGTCCATATTGAGCCAGAAATACAAAAAGGGTGTCATCACCTGCATTAGCTCTTCACATCTCTTCAACGGCATAGTGGATCCATGACGTAGAAGAGCCATGGCAGCAGTCCTCAGCTGCAATGGGGAGACACCTGTTCCATTCAATTTATCTTCAGATACTGACGTGTTGGTAATCAAACTTATATCACCCGAGTTCATTATCTTTTGCACAAAAAGGGGTATTCCAAATTCTTCTGCTATTCGCCTCTTGTATTTCTCAGCTGCTGAATGAGCTATTTCATGACAGTCTACACAAAGAAGTACAATATCATGTGAACGATGGCTCTTCAGATGTTCTGGAAAATGCATCCTGTAGCATGATGGTATTATTCTGTATCTAATATAATGGCTCTTTTCTCCACAGCCCACACAAATATTTTTCTTGCTCTGAATATAGAACTCATTATCTTCATCCTCTGGACGACCCTTAGGTTCAAAGAGAAGCATGATTGCTGGAGGACTATCTTCAATCAATTTTGCCAAATTACGTTGAACGTACCTGGGATAGAAGAGCTCATCAGTTTGACAAAATAATTCTTCATTCATGCTATATGCATGTAAATAGCTAATGGGAATATATTTAAGAGACAAACCATTCCAATTTTTTGCGGTCACAGTAGCAAAGTAGTCTTCCATCACTAGCATAAATCCTGCAATTGTGATATACCGGGGACTTGCAGGAGAACTTTTTAATGAATAAATCCCGTGAAGCCTTTTTATTAGGCGGTGCTGTCAGCAACTTCTCTCCACTTGGAGCAAAGGAAAACATATTTGTTTGCTTCAAACTTAGGTGTGTTATAAGGTTGTAATTATAAACTGATAGTCGACATAATCCACTTGGATCTTTATACTTCTTTAGTAAACTTTTAAAGATGCCGTCCATGCTGGTAGTGATGTCATCCAGCAGATTACAGAGTTCTTTGACATGAGCCACAACAAGAGGTGACGGTGATGACAAGGAAGGGTACATACTTGAAATGCTTAGGTCAGTTTCTGCTATGACAGCAAACACCTCTGTTGGGCCTTTTGGAAGACTAACAGCAAGGGCAGCTATAGCTTGGTCTGACAGAACATATCGTAAGCTTTCATCATGCATCCGAGCCTGGAATGACCCAAAACCCAAGTTGTTAGGAGATATCAGAAAGGAAACAGACCCACCACAACTACATAACTGCAAATATGCATGATATCCTGGAAATGCATTTGCTTCAATGTGCCCATCGCTATGCAACTTGCCCGAGTGATATCTGGTGATCACCCAGGATTCGAAGGTAGATAAAGAAGTTATACTACCTCCAGTCAAGAAAAGTTCATGTTTCGGACAAGGCACACAACTAGTTTACTGCTGCTTTCACTTGTCTGAACATCAAGTTTTGCTGACCGGAGGTAACAACAAATAAGCAATTAAAAAGATTTACTTTGCAGAAGGGGAGGGAGCTATTCTAAGGGAAATATTTTTTTTTACTGACCATTAAGTCCCTCCATGCACAAAATTTCCAAACAAGATCCTGTGGATGCAGAAGATTAGAAATTCAGGAACAAAAAAATACAAAATCGCTGGCTGGCAAGCTAACCAGAAGACATTCTACAATCAAAAAGTGAATACAAAAAAGAAGCACCTTCACTTCACTATACTTTTTGGAGTCGAACCCATGAGTTTGCAAATTTCGTGAGAGAATAGATGTTGCACTGGAAGCTCCAGGAGGAGATTCAATTTCTTTTGCATACAGTTGCATGCACACCATATTTGAGCGATGACTAGCCTCGAAGAAAAAATTGATTCTATCACTGGAAGTATCTGATTAGATATTACAGATGATCAAAGACTTGAGACATGTGATGAAGGCCAAGGGTACCACCGTACCGATATGTGATTTGATGTTGACAAGAAAAGATAATATTTAGGATTATCCAAATCTTATGAGGGTTAAACTATCAATTTCTGCAGTTCAGCAATAGGATATCATGAGTGCCTCATAACTGCCATCTGCTTTTCTTGATCCCCCTTAATACTGCTTCCATTTCTTAACTACACGTCAGGAATATATAGAGATGACACGTTGTGCTTACCATTCGAAAGCTTATGTTGACATTGTGAAAGAATTTTTTGACACTCGATATTAAAAATAAGAATTAAGAAAATAGCCATCTAATTTTCCACAGGTGAATAGGATTGCATAAGTTTGTTAATGAAATACTCCCAGCTTACATAGCTCCATAGTGTACCATTCAAAAGTTCCTTTTCCATTGATAGAACAATAAATACTTCCTAGTTTTAATTGATTATTCATTATTCACAGTTTACCAAATATTTCCCAAGTCATGGATCAAACAATGTAATCTTGGCAAATGACTCATCACTTCCAGGAATAGTGCATTTCATATTTCTGAACCCTGGTACTAGCAAGAAATGTATCAGAGCTGCTAGTGTCTTCCAGATGCAGAAAAAAGAATGACAAACAGAAACATCATCCAATTCAAGAACCAACAATCTAAAGAAATTTTGCTCTTCAGACCATGTGAAATTAGTTTAAAATCTTATACAACTATGACTTCTAAACTCTGAGATAGCAAATTCAAATATATTAGATAACTGTGAGGGTACTGAGCCAATGAACAAAAAAAAGCAAACAATAGGAAAGAAAAAGTTGATACAGCACTTAGAACATACCACAGGCTTTTGCATGGAGCTCTGATGCCAAACAATTTGCAATGTACAACAGATAGTGAGCATCAGTGCGAGCATACTCAATCATTTCTGGAGTCAGAGGACGCAGTCTCCAATCTTCACGCTGGGGTTTCAAAATCAAGGTAGGGAGAAACAAAATGAGAGCAGATATCAGGCAATTGCGACATTAGAATTTTTGAGTTTCAAACAAACTGAAATTTTGAATGCCAAAAGAAATATGCCTTACAACATGTATGCACTTGGTTATCATTTTCATAAGCATGTCATGTATTCAACACCAAACATAATGCTCAAAAGCAAGCAAATTCATGAAAATATCCTTTGTAAAGAAACTTAGAGTTTGCTCAATCGAAGAAAAATTCAAAGGTAATGATCATGATTTATCTTTGTTTGAATTTAGTTGACTAGAACAGCATGGGAACTATGCATTCATAGATGCAGTAATGACTCTGCATGATTTAAGGATGTGACTACCAGGCTGTGAAGCATGTAAAGACCAGTTATTTGGAAACCTATCAAAGCTAACGGGGTATGTTGAAGCCAATGTATGGTGGACTATTGACCTTATAAGTTGTCATGGGTCATATAATAAGCTACCTTACCTTGCTCATATTAAGATATAATAAATTGCAAGCCAGAGTACAAGATCAACATATGTAAGCCAAACATGCCTTAAGAGTATGTTTTAACACTCTGATGTTTTGAAGATCATTTATATTTCTAGTCAACAATTGAAAAAAAGAAGAAGAGTAAATCATTCCCTGTAATAAACTCTGGTTCCATAGGGCAGCATGCAAAATAGACCCTCAATCTGCTTCTTTGTTTTGTTGTAATTTACCATGTGAAAACAAAATAAATAGTGTACTCATAAGTGATACACTTTTTAAAGCATTCTGCCTCATATTTCCCATGCTCTCATGGAAGTATCAGTGCATAAAATCAACTGGCATTGAACAAATGAGTGACTTCACTGAGCTCAGTACTTTTAAGCTGATACTGATCGATTACCTACCTGCATTGTCTTGTCTGTGGTCACTTCACAATATACTTCAAGCAAATATGCTAGTGATTTTTGTGGTTTCAATAGAATTTCGCATGCCTGAAGTAAAATCAGTTGTAAGGCGCAATTAAGATAAGTTGCATGCATTCATAGCATAAGAAAAACAAGCTAAGGATGTAAATTCAGAAATTAAAAAAAAAAGACGTTTCACACAAACTTCTCAAAAAAAATTGAGTGAGGGGGCAAGAAATAAAATTGTTCAAAAACCAAAATATTTGTAAGCACGACTGCAGCATGTGATTATAAGGTGAGCAAAGATGGTTTAATAACCTAAAAGTTCTCAACTTCTGATTCTTAACTGCAACTGCATTCCACCACATGAAAGGTTCATTCACAAAGCTTTTCATGTTGCAGTTATGAGGTTGAAATTTCCATGCTTCAGTAGTAGAAAGTATAATCCATTATCTGACTGAAATCTATTATATCGATTTTAAAATATGAGTAAAAAAAAGGAGATCACCAAATCATTTCCCCGCCCTTGGACTAAACGAATCATATGATCTAGAACCTAATAATGAAGCAATCAATATCACATAGTAGTATAGTACAATCAAGGACAACCTATTCCAAAGAAACCATGATAGAAGTAATTAAAGAGGGAGGTAGCATTTTTCTAGGTTGATATTCTTAGCTAACTAGGTACAGTATTGGGGATTTTCCTTCATTTGTTAATAATACAAATTTTCAAGTGCTATGGTATTAGTTTTTTTCGTTTGATGTTTTTTAGATGATAATATTGGTTTTCAGTTAATTGTGTTTCTTTCATTTCATAGAGCAATTACAACACACATACATGTGAAGTGATCTACAAAAGGTTTGAAATGATAAAAATACTAAACTTGCACAGAATTGTTCCTTGTAAAATGGGGTGTCAATCTAAGCAATGCATGCCACACAACATGCTGTACCAAAAAAAGGTCTAGCAAGCAAATGATATTAAATGTGTTACATACCAGAAATATTTGCATAATAGATTAAATGTGTGAACAAGGATATATTATACCGGTACTTACCTTGGCAGTATCAAACATATTCACAACATAAATATGAAAATCTCTTTGAAGCCAAAGAACATCATTGTCAGCTCCATGGAAGATCTACAGCATAAGGACACACAGAAATGTGTGTATTTAGGATGTCCCACAGCTTATCATAAGGGAAAAAATAATATGTTGCCACCAGTATGTCCTACAGCTTATCCCTCTAATGCATATCCCAAAAGTAAACTCAGCTACATTTCAATGGCATGTAAATAGAGTTCATGGCATTATCTTTGCTTGTACTTTAATAGAGCTTAAAGTTTGCAGTCAGCACAAAAAGTGAAAATAAACAGCTTACCACTGGAAGCAGTTACAAAGATGTGTTACCTTACAGATAGAAGAATTGGCAAACACTGGTCGTAGAATGCCCATCACATCATGCAATGCTATTGTGTCTATCAGATAGTCTTCATTCTGGGTAGAGATCTAAAACAGAATAATCCTATATTAAAATATAATAAACTTATAAAGAATTGAATGTTGAGGGTGCATGCGCCTCTACCAGTAATTACCTGCATTAGTGCAGTATATCCTAGGAAAGATCGAATGCTATGTTGCTCTGTATCAACAGCAAAAGCTCTTTCCTCACCCAACAATCTCGCTAAATGTTCCAGTTGAGCTTCTGTATCAACCCAATTATATGTAGCACTCATTTCTGGGCACCGGTCACCCAGCATAAAGCTATGAAAACCAGGGGGGTTCTTTAGCAAAGATGTGATTTCCTCCTCAAATGGATGAACTTTTTGTGATGATTCTGTATCAATTAAAATGGAATGTCAGAACAATTAAAAGAATGGGACCATTTGGGATATGGTCCTATGAAGAATCGATATTCTATATGCTAGATATGCAAAATTCGTATCTTACAGCAAAATTTATGCAATCAACCATCCAGCTTGACTTCCTCGAGAAAAATAGACAGCAATTGCGGTAGAAATATTAAAGTTAGTTGAGTATTCCAGAGTCCAGAACATGACAAGCAATTGTTACTTCAAATGGTAACAGCAATAATCTAGTCTTCAGTTAAGGGCATGGCCTGGAGATCTTCTGAAAGCCTGTAACACTATGCTATTATTCCACTACGTGTATCACTAGAGTAGTATGAACAAATAGAAGCACGCAATAGAACAGCGTTTTGCATGAATGCACAAAGCAGCGACTGACTGGAGAATGTACAGCGTTGCCCTCAGGTGTTCGAAGAAATTCCACAGACAGAAAATCCACATCGAACTGCATTCCTCTAATCCTCTACTAGCCTCCCCCACCCACCCCTGCCCTGGTGCATCGCGCAGCTCGATTCTACGTACCAGGGATTCCGTGGAATTCCTAAAACAAGTAAACAACCATACGAGTACGACGGCAATGCCGAGATCCCCACAAGCAAGAGCAGGATTCCAGGAGTGCGCGCACCTTGAGGCGGTGGCAGGGGTGCCTCGCCTTCTGCACTTCCCAGCTGAGCACTCTGGCGGCGCAGGTGTTTGAACGGGGAGTACGAGTTGTCCGCGAGCACGCGCTTGAACCGGGCCTGCGGCTTCTCCTCCTCCTCGCAGGCGCGGCGGGGGCGCCCCCCGATACCGAGGCGGCGAGACGAGGAGGGCGCCCGGTTCCGGCGGCGCCTGCGGTGGAGCAGCGCCGCCGCGACGAGGACCGCAACGCACGCGGCGGCCGCGACGGCCGCGCGTGATCTGAGGGTGGCGGCGCCTGGCATGTCGCGACGCAGGCAGAGGCAGTGTGACGGTGACGGGAGGGAGAAGACAGAAAAAGGGTTTGGACCGTTTGGACTTCGGAGGGCAAAGGATCGGTCTATATGTCGGGACCGGACCGGCTGACTCAAGAGAGTGATAGATCACCGAACCGGAGCGTGCGTCTCTTGTAAGGACCCGCACGGTCAAACAAAAAAAATGAAAATCTCTAGTGGATTAAAAATCCAATAATACTCCTCCGTCTAAAAAAACGCTTATTCAGGTTTAAAGCCAGAATTACGTTTTTTTTACAGAGAGAGTAACTCTTTTCTATCATCCCTTTTGGAATAAAGGGTTGGATTTCTATAAATCCTACACAATGACTTGTTTTATAGAAATTTTGTTGGAATTTTATAAGAGGTTAAACCTTATGAAAATGGTTTTTTTGTCAATCTCTCTAGTCAAATACCTGTATTTTTTGTACGCTCCATTCAAACATTCATTTAGTCTTATACTCCCTCCGTTCGCAAAAGAATGCAATTATGAGATCCGTGTCGGTCAAATAAGTTCAACTTTGACCAAGTTTATAGTAAATAGTATTAGTATTTATATCTCTAAATAAATTTATTACGAAAATATATTCTATAAGTATATCATTATTTTGTATCATGATTGTTGGTGGTTTTTATATAAACTTAGTCAAAGTTTAAACTATTTGATTTCTCGAAAAACAAGAATTGCATTCTTTTGTGGACGGAGGTAGTAGTTTCCTATATTTTCTCAATCCATAGGATTCAACATATTATGACATTTTGTTCCTACATTTTTATTACTACTTTTCCAATCATGTGTTCCAAGAAGGCCTTAAAAGTAATGAGAAAATTCTCTATTTAACACTAGAAAAACTTCTTCCCATTTGACACCGAAACGTTAAATCTTCATTATCCATCACTTATTTTATCTTTATGTTTTCTATTGGACACTCATGTCACTTTTTTTATTCTAACAACATGAAGTCCAAGGCGCAAAGACCATCTTGCCTCTCCTGTGTGTGCACTGATTTTTCGTTCTCATGTCGTCACATTGCCCTCCTGCCAGGCTTGTTCGCGCCTCGCCGCGTTGTGTCCCTGCGGGGCTTGCTGGCGTCAGCCTACATCGCACATTGTGATCGTCCAGCCTTGCGGTTTGGTGTCGTGGGATCGTAACCAGGACAATGGTTAGCGATTCGATCAGTGGGTCAATGTGTGGGACTCTAGTAGTTTAGCACTCAAAAGTCAAAACACACAAGGGTTTATCCTAGTTCGAGTGTCTAAACCCTACGTCCAGCAGCTAGTTCTTCGTGTTAGAATGCCCAATCGAGTTCTTATAATGGAGGTGAGAGGGAGGAAGAGATGGTAGGAGAGCACAGTTTGCAGTGATCTAGGGTTCGATCCCTTCGGTAAGAGGAGAGTGGATTCGGTGATCCTAGGGTTTTGTGTCCTAATCTTCAAGTTGTTGGCAGCGCCTCGCATCGTCCTCTTTTGACGATCATGGCCGACAACGCCGAACCACCTCTAACACCGCCTCCAGGAGCCTAGAGCTGATTGTTAGGAGCCGGAGTTGCCGTTGTGGGCTCGTACTCCTCATGACATTAGTCGTAAGCCAAAGGTAGCTAGCGTATGACGCCTGGGAGTGCATCATCCTCCTTCCTCATGCAGAGGTTGTGAGCACACCTTTGTCGTGTTGCGTCACGTCCCAGACATGACCCCGAGCGCGGAGTGGCTGACACAACCTCGCAAGGGTGAGGGGACAGAGCTCCCACATGGTTTGGAACCCTGCGGCTCTATCTGTGTGTCAGGATTTGGGCTCTTGTTAGAGCCTGAAGCAAGATTCCTCACATCACTTGGGGTAGAAAACTTGGCTACTGTCGTCCGAGGTCAGGAGTGCCAAGACCTTCCCGAGCCCTTGAGTGCAGGGACTTGGTCGTAGACTTATCTCCTAGTGGTTTAGGCTACTTTCCTGAAACAGGCCACTAGGTGTAGTGTAGCCCCGAGCCTTTAACTGATTAGGCTAATCAGTTAAGGGGTTAATTGCACTGTCATAGTACTAATCTAGGGATTTAGCTGATCCTTTTGTTAGGTACTCAATAGTTGGGCACTATACTGACTAGTGTGCCTTGTCGCAGTTCTACTGAGCAACCAAACTAAGCTGGCGTGCCGTGTTGTGTTGGGCTCCTGAAAGGTTCTTGTTTAGTTTTGGTAATTGAGTGACAACCTAGGTGGACTAATATGTGTTTAAGTGAGATACATAGGTGATTAGTCCACAAGTACATTATGTGTGAGCAACCTATGCCATAGAGGTGAAATGGCTCGGATTTGTTGCAAGGCTCACACATGTGATAAAGGAGCTCATTGCATATGAGACATGACATTGAATTATGTGACTAAGGTAGAGAAGATCAAGATAAGGCTTGATGGACTGGTTGCAAGCGTGAAGGGCAAGTTGGAGGCTTTGGAGCGATGGACCGCGTGGCGATGAAGCTTAAGCAAGACTTGGCGCCGATGGACGAAGGCAACGGTGAAAAGCAAGTGAGGTCAAGATCGATGAACCAACAAGGTCACGTGATGATATGAAGTGGATCATATTATTTTGTGATATGGTTGGTGCATGTGTTGCATCAACGATGAAGCAGATGGAATGGAATGCGCAAGACAAAGGTATAACCAATAGGGCATTTCATTTCATCGGTCATAGGTGAGTAGAGAAGTTGATGATCGAGTTTAGGATAGATGGTCGTACTATTCAAGAGGGGCAAACGTGTTTGTATATCGGTCATCTAGTGCCATTTGAGTGATCTAACATTGCGATATGCTAGGATCGAGTGGCGTGGAAAGATCAACTGCTAATCCTTTGATAAAATGTTTGTGAAAAGCTAACACACTTGCACATGGTGGTGGACACTTGGTTGTGTTGGCACATTTGCAAAGGAGAAGTTGTTGGAGTTGATTTGGATCAACTTGATGAAGTTGGAGAAGAAAAGGAGAAGAAAAACACTAGTTTGGGTTGTCCGAGGGTCAGAAAATGCAACCGAACTTGTAGCCAACGCGCGGCTCTTCTTGGGGGTGGCACCACCCTTTCCGGTGTGCACCGGACACCCTAGGTGAAAGGTCCTAATGGCTAGAGGAGGGGTGAATAGCCTAATAAAAATCTACAACAACACTTAACAAAATGTGTTAGACAATTTTGCGGCGAAGCGAGTGTTGCGCTAGCCTACTAAAATGCAAGCCACCTACCATAATTCTATTTCGAATAGTGTATATCCACACAATAGCTATGACACTTAGCTAAATTAGTGTGCTCTCAAAGACTAACTAAAGAGCAACACTAATCAAACAAATAAGCTCTCACAACTGCTACACTAAAGAGCTTGATAACTAGTTTGCGGTAATGTAAGAGTGAGCAGGAGAGTTATACCGCCGTGTAGTGGTAGGAACCAATCAATCACAATAATGAATATCAATGTAGACCAATCACCTCGGAATCAAATGATGAACACAATGATTTTTACCGAGGTTCACTTGCTTGCCGGCAAGCTAGTCCTCGTTGTGGCGATTCACTCACTTGGAGGTTCACGCGCTGATTGGCATCACTCGCCAAACCCTCAATAGGGTGCCGCACAACCAACACAAGATGAGGATCACACAAGCCACAAGCAATTTTACTAGAGTACCTTTTGGCGCTCCGCCGGGGAAAGGTCAAGAACCCCTCACAATCACCACGATCGGAGTCGGAGACAATCACCTCCTCCACTCAACGATCCTTGCTGCTCCAAGCCGTCTAGGTGGCGGCAACCACCAAGAGTAACAAGCAAAATTCGCAGCGAAACACAATCACCAAGTGCCTCTAGATGCAATCACTCAAGCAATGCACTTGGATTCACTCCCAATCTCACTATGATGATGAATCAATGATGTAGATGAGTGGAAGGGCTTTGGCTAAGCTCACAAGTATGCTATGTTAGTAGAAATGGCCAAAGATCTGAGCCACAGCTGGCCATGGGGCTTAAATAGAGCCCCAATGAAATAGAGTCGTTGTACTCCTTCACTGGGCACAACGCGGGGTGACCGGACGCTCTGGTCCGATCGACCGAACGCTGGCCCTTAGTGTCCGGTCACGTGATTCACGCCACGTGTCCCCTGCTTCAAATGCTATTCGTCAGATTTCAACGGTCGCGAAGCTGACCGGACGCTCCGGTAAAACTGACCGGACACTGAAGTCCCAGCGTCCGGTCGTTTCTAGTAAGCTCCCCGAGGCATGTTTTTTCGACCGGACGCGTCCGGTCCACCTTGACCGGACGCAGTCAGCGTCCGGTGCTCAACCCTAGCCACTGTGCCGTCTAACAGCTCGACCGGACGCAGCCTTTCAGCGTCCGGTCGCTGAGTGACCCAGCGTCCGGTCAGTAGACCGACGCCAGCATCATTTTGGTCAACTCCATTTCAACTCTTACTTCTTCACCCTTGCTCAAGTGTGCCAACCACCAAGAATTTTGCATCCGGCGCAATAGAAAATAGACATTTCATTTTCCCGAAAGCGCCGAATCAAGGTGGTAGCATATTTACACAAATATTATCAAGGGTGTTAGCACTCCACTAGATCCTAAATGCATATGCAATGAGTTAGAGCATCTAGTGGCACTTTGATAACCGCATTCCGATATGAGTTTCACCCCTCTTAATAGTACGGCTATCAAACCTAAATGTGATCACACTCTCTAAGTGTCTTGATCACCAAAATAAAATAGCTCCTACAAGTTATACCTTTGCCTTGAGCTTTTTGTTTTTCTCTTTCTTCTCTTCAAGTTTAAGCCCTTGATCATTTCCATGCTATCACCATTGTCATGTTATGATCTTCATTTGCTTCTCTACTTGAAGTGTGCTACCTATCTCATGATCACTTGATGAACTAGGTTAGCACTTAGGGTTTCATCAATTTACCAAAACCAAAGTAGAGCTTTCACTAGGGCGGTGGCACCGTGTAACACCTCTGG